AGAAACTGAGGTGGCGGTAATGTACTGGATATTAACAATTTAACCTACCAACGCCGGGTACTAGAAAGAGTGGGAATACCGATCTGTAAATTGGTATTCCTCGACAAAAAATTCAATTAAGAAAAATTATTTTTTATGAAATTTTTCTGACCATAGGTCAACCAGGACACCACGATGCCAAAATGGCACGCATAGTAACTGAGCCAATTGGCACGGTATAGGTTTACTCAAATAGTAATTCACAAAAAAATCGCACAGGATCCGTAAGTAGCTTAAGTAAAAGAGCATGACGAGGGCTATGCAGCTAGGTAATTTTATTGGTCAGCAAGATGACCACTGGTCAGCACATATGAAAAATACATAAAACCACCAATCTGAGCCGGCATGACATAAAGTGCTTGGCAAATGGTCAAAAACACTGTGAAAACGCTTTGTGATCTAGGAAAACAGTATCAGCTAGCACCGCGTTTGCTATAAAAGAAAGGTTGTTTGTACAGAAAGATGCGTCACATAGCACATAATCCTGCATTGACCGCCCTGACAGAAGTAATGCTTGCATTAATCCTTGTGCGCTGTTTTGGACCAGGGCTGCCATGATATCGGTAGGGAAGCCATGGTCAACTGCAGTCTGCAGTAACACGTAAGAGCACCTGCATCCCGAAAGGAAGGAAATCGTTGCACAGTACTGTGTTAGGGATGTGTTAACCCTTTTACGATTTTATCAGAGACGAGATGAACAATTACATACGTATCTTAGGCCACCTTTTAATACAGTTTCTGTATCCGCGTTGTTCTTGTCATTATTTTACCGAAGCAGCTAGCAGCAAGACTGATCTAAAGCAAAAAGCGCATTTTTTCACCACTACTGCAACCACGATTGGTCGCAGAAATCGACGCTACTGGTGTACTGACCGGAAGTTTTCGCAAATCTTCCATTGACTGCTTCTGAGTCAACTGTAGGTGTATATCTGCTGTGTAAACGCTTCAGCATTTTACAATTCGTACACATCAGACGTAACAGAAGTGACGGAAACACCGGACCGTGACCTGGTATGCAAGGCGCCTACTGTCTGCCTGTCGTTCATGTTTGCGCCAAACGCCGATATGGCATTAACAAGCCATCTATAACATTTTAATTTTACATCCCTGTTGCATCTTTTCTGCATAATACAATTTGTGCAGTGGAGATGCATGAAGAGATTCTATTGACACCGTATTAGTATAATACTTCATTTTTCGCGCTACTGGTCAGTTAAGCAATTTTTTATTTTTTTTGCCAAGAGTGACCAGTGGTCACTTCGATGACCACTGAAACCTTGTCATTGAAAAGAGCTGATCCAGTACAGTTTTTGTTACTGCACCTGCTGATTTTTACCTTTCTCCAAGATTTTTGTGCAGAATTTCAAAATTCTGGCATAAAATAGTATCAAACCCATGCGTGTCAAAATTGGCACAAAATTTTTTAAGGACCGTAGTCGGACGGTGTCCAGCTACGTGTGATTGACCTGTTCATCTTTGGATGAAGTCCTATGAATACTTGAAGTGTGTTTTTTGTCATAATTATCTGATGCGGGACTCTCTCAGCCGGTAGCCAAGACCTCCGCGAACCATTTTAGCTCCGTTTTGGTGGACTTCAGTCGACCACCGGCCTCAACCAGTATCTGATTATTTGGTGTCATAATTTTTAACCTGCTCTTTAACATCTCTAGTTCGCAATAAAATTATTCAGACTTTCCTTACTGCATCTTCTACCGCTACAGAAATTAAAGTTCGCCACTGTGCCAATTGGCATGCATGGTGTCGACCGGGTTAACTCTTACGTACTCGTATTACCCGCAACTGCGGGCGCACAAAAGTTGACAAAAGTTCACAAAACCAGCTACTTAATTAGCAATACGAGTAGTACGAGTACAACACGGGCATACTGACTGCAGTTGCCATGTTTAGTTCTGTTACATATGTTTTATTTTTATTGCTTCATTCAGTGAGCAGACACTATTTTATTCGTGAGCAGACCATTAACCTTTATGGGACTCCAAGTCTGGTCAGTAACACACAGGACACAAAGGCCACAACAGTCCTTACAATCTCATGACGTACACCGCGTACAATGCACTACGCCACAGGCTCACAGCTTCAGTACAATGAGGATTAAGGATGGTCGGAAACGCAGTTGTGTGAATACGGAAGTCGGTCGTTAAGTTGTCGGGAAGGTAAACGAAGATCAGAGAGTCCATATGCCGCCTAAGCCTGCATATACATATATGTAAGTACAATATTTCTACACTACGTGTGATTCGAAGATGTGCCTCGGCAGATCTGATTTTGGTCTTCATTCTGCGGTTAAAGGGCAGCGGCATGTTTTCACGCGATTTCTTATTACTATAAGGTACTTATTGAATATGTGGCAACTCTTGGTTGACCTTTACAAACGCAAGAAGGGTTTTACTTCTGGATAGTGCGGCCGGTAGTGATAGCGCGTGCACCACCTAATCCTGGTGTGCCCGAATGCGATGCAGGATCGGACCAGAAGATGGACACTAAACAAGTGGCCTTTCTTATTGCCACATGTTGAATGCTAAATAGTAAATACCCAGGGGGCACTTGTCATGGTAACGCGATTAACGGACCGAGCTTTATCGTAATGATGACATATATAAACTAGCTACTGTATTTGTTTTTAGCCAGGACTAATTAGTCGGCTAATTATAGTTTTTCCATCACTACTTTTCCATCACTGATTTTGCTTTTTCAGCGATGCTTTATCGAAATCGCAATTTAAACAGCTCCTTTGCCCTACAGCTACAGTACAGTATCTGCTCACTGCTGCTTTCATCGTCCAAAACAAACTCAGGCATTTATATTGTACCGTTCAAAAGAACTAAAATAACTCAATTCACAGCCACAAGAAATGTTATAGTCATGAAGAGAACAACGAGAGGAGACCACGTACGTACGTGGGATTGCGAAAGCTGGACAACCGTTCTACGGTGTAAAACAAGCCAACAGTAATAAAACGCCGATATTTTTTTTGAAGCCCGAGGGGAAAATCGCCGGCCGGCCGGCGACCGTATCACATGTACATCCACTTGACGCGGGTCAAATGAGCGGCCATGCAGGATGCTGCCGGCGAGCGTTCTGCATGCAGCCACCATGCGGAGGGCCCCGGAGGCCGTCCTCCCCGGAAATATCCGCCGCGTTAGCTTAACCACGGCCATGTACGGGTACCGGCGATAATGATCGTGCCGGCATTTAAACAGTGCCATTAATTTCCTAATTATTTTTCATTAATATAATAAAAGAACATCATAATATCAGCATTCATCATGGGCCAGCAGATACATGTGGCCCATGGGCATGGGGCCGGCGAAGGCACGAAAAGTCTAGTGGGCCGTATCGGACGTGGAATATAGCCCTGCTCACTGACCATGCGGCCACGTTCCAAAAAGCTTTTTTCCGGCCGGCAGCGTTTGTCCGTCCAAATATATTCAAAGAGAAAACGCGCTGTGTGTATTGGGCGGGCACTCTGCCGGGAACGAAATTCATAGCACAAGTGTTTTTCTTACAACCTGCCTATGCTTGTCCATTTATGTTTTTCTTTAGAATTATAAATTAGTCAAGAACTTTTAGCTGACTAAAAGTTTTAACCAAGTTGATTTTAGCAACTAAGACTTCAAGGACTCAAGGTTAATCGGGGTTAACCAATTTTATTTACTGGTCTTTTTTCTAATAAAAGTACGACAAACGCAAACCGATAGGTACTCTTGTTCGGTACTATGCAAAATTACCGTATATCACTCAAGTACGAAGCCGTCAGTAGACTGTCAGTAGCGCACCTAGATACCTAATCCCTGTAATTGCTGCCGTCACCCGCCTGGAGTGTAACGTTACGGCAGTACATGTGGCTAAATCTGGCGCGGAACATAAAGCACCATCATGCCACCATGTATATCCACAACGTCATACTCCAGCCGTCTGATGGCAGCAATTACAGGAATTATTTAGGTGCGCTATTGACATCCCCTCGTATATTCTCCGGGGCGGCCGGGTCTTTCGCCATTGCAGATTGCATGCAGCAAACGGCAATATGCGTATGCGGGCGGTGGACAGTGCTGCATTGTGCATAATCGAACCTTACCAGCTACCTTTTACTACCGCGTCGTTACGACCAGTTTTTATTTTACTGTCGCATTTTAGTGCCATAGCGGGGATAATGCTGTATAATTTGTACATTGCGACTTTATAATTTTATTCACTTGATTTCAGGCTTTAGCTGAAGCTTGTGCTATTAATTTACGGATGGTTCATAAAGGCCGATACTGGGCAGCATTATTATCGTGATCTGGGTACATCAAACCGTATGAAAATAAGATCATATGAAAAATAAAAAAGCATTTAATTATAAATACAAGAATTACAGTTATTAGTTTCGGTTAACTTTGGTTAACCGACTAAGAATTTTAACCAAGCCATTTTTAGTCGCTAAAAATTCTAGCCAAGAAAATGTGGCTGACTAAAAGTTTTAACCAAGCCGATTTAGGCGGCTAAAGCTTTCAACCAAGTTTTTAGCTTAACCGAATTTAGTTTAGTTTTATATGTACATCGTTTTATATGTATATTGTATACAGATAGTATGTGCGAGACTCTACGTTTCCGGTCCATTTGTGCATTGGTCACAGGATTCATGCACAGGATTCATGAATAAGTAATGGACTGGAATAAGCACTGGAATAAGTAACTGATTACAGGATTGAACGTATAAGATACCGACAGGCGGAAATTGGCGTGAATGGAGCCATGCAGCTGCAGGCGACGTCTGTTCCTTCGCTCCGCCCGCCGTGTCTCCGCGTGTGCTATACTGCTCTGCCGGCTGTGGAATATGACCGGCAGGCCATGGTACGAAAGAAGCTCTTTATTAGTTATTACGCTGTTTCCGTGCTCCTACTGGCACGGCACCCTTGCTTGGGCAAGATAATATATATTAAAGGCAGGGAGTTTAATAGTTTAGCTAGACTACGGTATGACTGACAGTTTGCACATTGCATGCATGCCACTGCCATGCTGTGCACACGTAACCTAACTGTATGTCAGTGTATGACGACGTCGACGGCTTCCTACAGCTTCTTCTGACCCCCTTGTTTCCAGCTGGGATCTATTTTGCTGCTTATTTGGCACTGTCGAGATCTCAGAAAGAATGATATAGTGCATCGATTGCCGTGGAAGGCGCTGTCGCAGACGAATCCATGCTATGAACTCTGGCGAAACACATCGCATAATTTAATGTACCTAAATACCGTATGATAACATCATTCATCATACCGATACCGTCGAATACAGTTAATTACTTCTCTACGTTAGTGGGACGGGTTGCAGCGCATATATGGGGTGGAATGATGGAGCTGAACTTGGAATTTCAAATGCTAGTGGGCTTTGAACCGTGGCCGTACCGGCGCTGCGGTCGCAGTGTCAGCAAAGGCAACACCGTGATGGTGCAGCTGAATGACGCCTGGTACCTGGGCTTTATAGAGGACATTGCCGAAGACCAGCAGCAAGTGTACGTTAATTTCCGTTGCAGCGCATTACCGGCCGCCTGGCTGCCCGCTTACCGCGTATTCCCCCACCATCTCTTCACGGAGACGGGTGGCAGCTTCCACACAGTCCTGGCGGCGCTGCGGCTGCGCAGCGACCCCAGCGCTCCGCTGCTCTTTCAGCCCGCCGCCGTTGTCGGCTTCTGCAGCGGGCATGGGCTCATGTGCTGCGTGCAGACCACGGCTGATGCCGATGCCGTAAGTCAGCGCCATCTCCTGCATCCGCTGCAGATGGCCGCCAAGCAGCCGCCCCGTCGACCGCTGCTACAACCCCTCGCGTCGTCGCGCCAGGGCGTCTACACCGCCTACACGACGGACACGCTGGACGTGGCCCACGTCAACTGTATCGATGAGAATCGGCTGCAGTTCGAGATGAAGCGCGCGGTGTACGCTGCGCAGTGCCGTGCACTCAATGGTCAACAGCGGCAGAGATACGGCAGGATCCCGGACACGCGCTATTACATGCGTCTCGACAGGGATTGTGTTAAGTTTCTGATTTGGCGGCGTCAGGAGGACGACTGCCCGTGGAGTGTGGAGATGCTGACGGAATGCGTCCGGCGCTGCTTGCAAAGTGGGGTGTTGGCCAACGATCCGCTCCATCGTAGCATCACACGGACCCCGCCGGACTGCTGCGATGCCCTTGCCCAGGTTAGCGGCGACAGCGGGGGCTTGACGCGTCTGCCGTTGGAAATCGTGGAGAGCCTGCTGGATGTGCTGGATATCGCCACTCGCTCCAGGGTACAACGGTAAGCAAGTTAACATCAACACACTTGTTGTTATTATCTTGATGGTCCCCACCCCGCAGAATGTTTCTACTGTAGCACGTATCGTATTATTGGACACTGATAAAATAACTGAGAGCTTGGAAGTGTTTAATGTTACTGTAAAAGTATAGCGTTTAATGTGCATCACTCTGGCCATGAGTACTGAACATTAATAATTACATGCTGGCTGTAATTGTATCTGTACGAGAGAAAGGAAGCTATACAGTGACTTCCAGCGAAATGCCAAGTTTCCAGTAATTTCCTGTAACCGAAGGGCGGGATTGGAAATAAAAAATGGTAAAAAATTTCGAAGTCCATAGTCGCGCTTCCGGTGCACGGGACGGCAGTTACATTTAAGACCTTATCAAAACATGACATCAGAGAATGAAAACATGAAATCAAAACACTGTGGCACTGACTCGCATGCACGAATCAGCACGATTAACTAAAACCGTCAACCGTAGGAGGTTGCCAGTATCCGTTTAGCTAGATCGTTGTAGGTCGGCGCACCTACAGTAGTATCCACGGTTGACGGTCAAGTCAGCTGTGCATGGGCCCAGTGATCGAAAAGACTCAGGAATTTGAATGCGCTACCGAAGATATTACAGTAGCTTTCCCCTCGTACTGTAGTTTTCAAATGTTTAAGTAGCACACAGGTTGTCGGCCCCTTTTTAGATCAAAATTAACCGACAGTCTGTGTGCTATTCCACCCTATTCCATTCTTGATTACTGTTAAACAGGGTCAGTCCAGCCTGGCACGACGTGGCCACCCGTTGCCGCTCTGGACAGCGGCACTGTGTACTGGATTTCGGCCTGCATGTGCGCAGTGCTAACAAGCCGGACGAAATGTACCGTCTGGGCCGGCTGATATACTACGGGCTGAGCCCTGGCGTGCGGACGCTGGTGCTGAGTCGGTGGCGGCCGGCTGAGCATCGTTTGGCCGAGCGGAGCCAGAGCATGGGCAGCAGCGACGTGACCGTCGTTCGGCAGCTGGTCAGAATGCTCCGACCGGCATCGCAAACGCCAGCGCCACTACAGCAGCGCATCATCTGCCACCGCTGCGTCGTCAGCGGCGAGCTGCCCACCCTCTGGTCGGAGGTCTGCGCATGGGAGGCCAGCGCCGATCGGCCAACCTTCTTTCCCCTCCACCACCTGTCGCCCCTGATGGACGTGTGCAGCAGCCAGCTGATCCTAGTTGATTACGTCCAGAACGACGCTGTACAGGCCTTTCATCATCGGCGGCCCTTCTGGCACTCCGACTGGAGTCCCTTGACCGACGAGCCCTACCAGAGCCGCGACCCGGCGCCGCCACTGTCGGTGGCCGTGCCTTTTCTGCGTCTGGACAACGGCCAGGATGCCGTCGCGCTTCTGACCAGTATGCGAACGGCCATGGAGACCGCCCTTCCGGAGCCGCCGGCGGAGGTGCGCCGGCTGGCCACGGACCTGTACGAGTACTGGCGTACCCGTGACACCTACTGGCACTTCCTCCGCCATCTTCTAGTAGCGTAAGTACAAATACATCTCGTTTAACCGTATCCGTGTTTGTTAAGCGGTACCACTACCGGCGTCCTGAGATTAAAACATGAAAGGTCACCGGCTTCGGTCAATGCTCATTCGAAGGCTTCGTTTTGTAGCACGGATCCGGGCGGACCGGCATGGGAGCACGCCGACTTTCCCAACACACCGTTGTCGCAGCTGACCCGTTTAACCGTCTGGGCTCTGGACTCCATGTGGTGCCCGTGCAGCAGCGCGGATGCCGCCGCCGAATCGCACTAGTAATTTAATTTCCAATATGCGATTCCACATTCTTATCGTCAACGAAATAGCAGTGCGTACTTATGATGAGCTGGTTTTATGAGCGATTTGACCAGCTGATTTCGATAATAAATGTACAAACAATAAAACCAGGAAGGTATTAACAATTGCCGACAGAGTGGTGTTAAACATGAAACAGCCCTTATCTTTACTCCGTCATTGTGAAAGAAAACTGTCCCGGAATCCAACCACAGTGCAAACCAGCAAGCAGGCAATAATCCAGGAAGGTCGGATTAATTTGTCGGGATTTTTCATTTATAGTTTACCGACCATGTTCTAACGCCAATGACGGTGTCGGTAACGTTATCAGTTGCTTTGATTTGACTTTCTGATCTAACTGTTTCTTATTGTAGGCGTGCGAATTATTGATCAAAATATTTAAAAGGGTTATATTTTCCTTATACAATGGACTGCATAATTAACCTGACGTCGATGCGACTATATCGATCACCGTCAGGTTAGTTTTGAAGTCCATTGTACTCGTTATGCTCAATGCGCACTAGAGCACTTAATGTCAAATAAAATAGGTAATAAATAACAAATGTCAGAATAAATAACAAATGTCAGATTAAATTATAGAAAATCATAATAATTTTTCAATTAGTCGTTAACTTCAAATAAATTTTAAAATATATTTCATACAAATAATGAGTGAAAATTAATTAATAAATCGGAAATTAATTAATAAATCTTTGCATAATCTGAAATAAGGTTGCCGAAATGAATGGTTGCCGAAATGAATGGACACCCTTGCATGAATTATCGCGGCACTCGCTACAGGAGAAGAAGCGCCCCACCAGCCCGAGGATGCCGCGCAGCACTCCTGATTCCTTCGCCAGCGCGTTGGCCTCGGCCTTCTCCCGGTTCTTCTCGTAATAGCGCAGTGTCAACGTGTGAAAGAGCTGCCATATGGCGCATGGGTAATCTCGCTTCTCCGATTGCGAGCCTTGTCAGTTGGCCCAGTGCGGCGGCGCATGCTCCCAGTCACCGGGGGTGGCTGCTCTACACCTCAAACGAAGAGGGACACAAGCGGCTGCTTAACTTAAGATCTGCACTACTGCCAGCAGCAATTTCTCCCTTGCGCTGTGTCAGCAACAGGTGCTTCGCCCTCGGTCAGTCTGAGTGGCCAGCCTGCACTACGAACAGTGATTGGTTTAGCACACTAAGAATGTGCATGGTTTTTGGCAAACTCAAAATATCGTACAATTTTATTTATTTATATTTATATAAAAATAAGTGCTTATCTTGGTTTGCTTATTTATGTTTGCGTCCCACAATTTTCTCTTGTTACAAAAAATTTCATCATGGACGACTTCGTCAGCATTCAGCTCCACGGAAATCTCAGTAAGTGTGGTTAGAAGGTTAGATGAGGGCCGTGGCGATTCCGACCGTTCCATTGCAACGATTGTACCGTATCAGCTGGATGAGGATGAATTTGCAGCTTTTGATTGCTGGTTGTATTGTTGTACTGGTAATACATACTGTACAGAGAAGAGAGGGCACGCAATACTTTGCAGTTTGCAAGTGATCCAGTTTTCCGTACAGATTAAGATTTAAGACCCCCTGTCTACATGGCAACCGCACGAGGCTACGATGAAAAGTGCTGCAGTCTGACATACTACGCGCACCGCGTGTAGTACTACCAACCTGACCGCAGTCAGCAGAGAAGGAACTCTGGAGATTGGTGTTGGTTCTGTTGCCCACTTCCGTAGACAACAGGTGCCACAAACACACTCTCACCACACTCACTACCACACTACAGGAATACCACACAGTAACTTCCGCCTAGGTACACACTACTGCTTTCCCTAAACGAAGGTCACTCACAGCACAAACACCAACAAGACTAAGATGATGTTACTCGTTTTAATCTTATTGATGTTCACTCCCACTCAGTCACACCGTAACTACTGAATGCTAGCCGACGACGAAGCGCAGCTTCTGATCGGAGGCTACCGATAAGAACACGGATCATACGTCATCGCTAGTACAACAGGGAACACTCGTACAAACGCACAGTAAAGTCATACAACATAATCTCAATTATGTCAAGTCTGACGATTCTGCCTGTTGCAGGCGACACTCAAGCGGGAAGGCTGCGCCAAAATCCCCATCAGCGAGTCGCCATCACTGCTGCCGTTATTGCTGACCTGGTTGGCTTCGCACTCGGCGGCCAGGACGGGGTTTTTGTGATCCTGAAAACGGATGCCCGACCTTATCCAGTTTTTAAAAATAATAAAAGTAATATTTAATTAATAACAAAACTTTTAATAAAAGTTTTATAAAAATAATAAAAGTAATATTTAATTAATAACAAAACTTAGTATTTATTAAATAAATAAAGAATGTTAATATTAATAGGTAATATTAATTTAAGATTTTATAAATAAACAGTATCAAGTTAATATTTAATAATTGTATTTAATATGTAATAATAATATCTAATAATAACCCACTAGAACAGCAGCCAGATAGGCTACTGTTACAGTATTTAATAGCTTAATTTTGTTTAAATTGTGTAAATGTTTAGCGCGCGATTCCCATCTTGTGAGCTCCGCGCTACAGTAGTACTTTCGCGCCCGCATTAGTTTAAAACGCTGTAATTTATTTCTCTTAGGTTATTTCATCGGACATGGGTTCAGCTGTTTGGTATAACGGTGCCCGCTGTTGAGGAACCCGGTGTTATGGAGCCCGGTGATGAACAGCCCGGTGATGCACATCCCGGTGATGAACACTGAACAGCCCGGTGATGAACAGCCCGGTGATAAATAGAAAGTATTTATTAAAGTTGATGTTAGATTTATTTTTTAAGTGGTGATCGGTGAAAAGTGTTCCTTATAATGAAATAAAGTTATTGGTGAAAACAACGGCGCACGTCGAATTCGCGTATTCACTACAACTGTACGATTAGGGCCATTAGGCATATACGCCTAATCGTAACTTATTAGCAGCGAGCCTGCCTGCACACGCTAGACCGAGACGTGTTGTGCTAGAGAGTGCCAAAAATCCACTTAGTATGTACATTCACTACAATCATTGCACAGCCAGTAATGTTGCTGGATGATGTCGATAGTCGATTCATTGCTTCTTGAAATGCTGGTTGAAGAACTGCTGCGGCCGCAGGTGTAGGGTCCGGTTGGCGTCGCCCACCAGTGGATTACTGGCCACCGCCGCCCATGGTGCGGTGGGGCGCTGGGTGTTCTGCCGGCCGAAGGTGGAGATCTGGTTGCCCTCCGCGTCCACCGTCCAGATGAAGCCGGTGTTGGTCAGTGTCTGCTGCGTCGCGAAACGCCCGTCCGCCTGCAGTACGGCTGGAAGCCTCGCGTCTGGCCCTGCACTAGCAATTAACCGTGTACCATCAGCCACCAGCGTGCGGGGTTAATTTGAAAGAGTTCTCGTTCTCGTCGATGACTTTCACTGCGGCTGACCGGCCTGCAGACGCGCCTGTCGGCAGGTGCACTTGCCGGAATTGATGAGGCCCTGCGAGGCGTCGCCGTTAGGCAGCGGGATCTTGCCCAGACTGAAGCAGTGCACCGTCACGTCCAGGTTGCGGTTGCCCTCCCACAGGCCGCCTTCAACAACCAGCTGCATCCCATCAGGAAAATCACTGAACAGGCCATAATGCAGAATAACTGAGTAATATGTAGCAGTACCTAGCGAGCAGGCAGTCCGACAGGGATACGAGGAAGCGGCGAAACTCGTGCAAAGTCAGCAGACGCTCGAAGCCGGTAATATCAATGCGCAGTTGCGATATATGCTTATTCCTCACTATAATTTTGGAACACTCATCAAATTTATTTGTACAAACGTGCGTTGTCATTGTCTTAAAGTTGTTGTCCGAAATATTGGACAAATAAACGTGCTCTATACTGAATACCTAGGCCATATCGAAGCAAAATTACGCAAATGGCGCAAATTACGCACTCTAAAAGTTGCGGAAAAGCCAGTAAAAGCGCTGATAAGGTTGAACCACGTAGTACAAGCCTTTAAAATTTTGATGTCCACACGTATAACTCTTGAAGAAGAGTTAAAGTCATGCTGACGCAATTCATAGAGCAAACCATCTTTGCGTACAAAACGAATAAAATTGCGTATTTACAGCATAGTCTCGTTTTCCTGAACCCTGCCGCTGCACTGCGTTCTTTTGCACAATAAAATGCCGGGAGTATCACTTTTGCATTACTTGTTCGCTGTCGTTAGTGTTTTCCTGCTGAACGCCGCATCATCTCATGGCGCAGTGACGGTTAACAGCGCACGTAATGGGATATGGAGCACCCCGGTTGGACGCTGGCCAAATCCGTCGCAAATACCTTATCGCCTTAGCCCAGGCTTCAGTAAGCATGGTGTTATGTTTTTGTGTAAAGGATGCAAAGTGTAAAGTAAAATGGTTTAAAAATAAGCACGACAAATGCGCCGCTTTTTTACGTATTGTATTACAGTACTTCATAATACCGTCTTTTTTTGTAGCCACACTTGAGATTGCAAGTATACAGACTGCCACGGTACAGATTAGCTCGGATATGATTAGCTGCATCAAATTTGTCCCTTACACCGATCCCGTCCATCGAGGTCTAGACTTCATATATATTACAAAAAACGAGACTTCCTCGTCCGTTGTCGGTCCTTTATGCAGGTTACAGCAGGTATGTCCAGAAACTGAATTTAAACATGGCTTCCAAGTTCCAGCTTAATTCTTGAACAACCTAAAAGCACTATACCGCCAGAAAAGCAGTTGCTGTCAACAAAACAATAAAAATATTGAACGGTATTTTGTTAGTGCACCGCCTTCGACGTGTTTCTCGTTTCCTGGACGCGTATCCGGACAGTTGGGCAGAGGTCAGGCCATGTACCTGGTGGGTGGTGTTGATGGATGCCTTGGTTCCGTGCGCGAAATTAAGAAGTATTTAGGTAACGACAGCTTTTGCTATGAGATCTACTGTCCGTAAAATAGAAATAGAAATGTTATCCTGTTGCTATTTGTAGTTCGTGCATTAGGATTGGAGGAGGAAATGAACCGTCCGGATAGAAATGTAGCTATTCAAGTGGTAAGAAAAAACGGATTTGGATGTGTTAGAAAACATGGAGAATTCTCATTAACCTCGGTTTTTGGTAGATATGATGCGCTTATTTTTGGAGAGTTTATGATTATTATTTAATAAAAAAATATTTTTTGTAGGTAGGAGACAGCCAACTAAAACCCAGTAAGTTGAGCTATTCCCAGATCGATGTAGACTTTTTACTATCTGCATGCATTTGTCTGTAACAGCAACAACAATTCATCTCCTAATTACTTATATCATCATACAATAACCGTTGTTGTGCTAACCGGCAGATCTGCAAAATTTGGGCTTGACACAATTGCTACAAGATGCAACCCTCTTGACCACTACCTTCGATTACAAGAGCACAACTATGCCAGCTGTCACTAAATACGTTTCGACCGGGAACCTATATACCGCTGTAGGCGGCGTGCCACTTCCAAGCAACGGAAATACGGCTCCCGGTAATCTGGCCCGTCTCAGTCAAGGAGACTGCTTTGGTTTGCGTGCAATGTACCCCGTCTGTGCCGCTGTTCCCTGTGTTGATCGTAAGAACTTCCTTTACTGCGCTATTTGTTGCATAAAAGCACTGATAAATATGAATTTAATGACATTGTACAAATTTATAGCCTATGTAGCCATAACATCAGCTGCAGGAGTGGTGGCGTCGGGGGTGGTGGTGAACACCGCATGGACTGGAAGTACTCTCAAAACGCCTGATGGAACAATAATCCAGTTTTAGAAATTTCGAAAAGAAATGGTACTCAAACCGGATGGAAGTGAGCGCAGGAATTGTAGTTTTGTGCCTTCTGGCTGCAGGACAATGCAATTATAGTGCGTGTAGTTTTATTATTTAAGATTGTGGATAATAGACCCACACCTTTTAAAAGCCGCTGTATCAAACATTCTTATAACTAGTTTACGAGCTAAACATCAGCTGCGGTTTCACGCCAGAAAATAATTATGTCGAATTCTTATCCTGAAAATAGCGCGATGGAGGAGTTCTTGTAATAAAAATGTTTTCGCAGCATTAATTATAAAGCGTATATCTGCAACAACCATAACGTCACGACTCACAACTAACTACTATTGTACACTTTATTAATTACACTTGTTCCCGAAAGCGTAAAGTGATATACTGTTTACGAATCACACACGCAAAATGTCCTCACTTAGTACTACATGTTATGTTACTGTTGCATCAGCCGATCAGCGTACTAAAAAGTTAGATGCAAAAGGATACATGGTCGTGGAGAATTTTCGCCATTTTGAGACAGTTCAGTTGGTGTAACAACATACATTCAACTTCTTCCATAACCAGGCTTATATGCCGACGGAAAACAACAAATCCAAGGCAATAATTAGTAATTACCCATTCATTCCATCCTTATAGACAACAATATGATGCGACATTGATCGCGCGTGTGAGGCATGAACATGAGAAACTCTAATACTTCTTGATAAGTTGTGGGGAAACCGGCGGCTCACACCGCCGCATCATAACTTCAGAAACGCCGTGTTAATCAAAGTAGTCTAATATTGCCACCATCGGTTCTTGTTGTTGGGAATGAAGTCATCCATGCCGTAGTCCTTCTTGCTGAATCCCAGACAGTTATGGGAGTCCTTGTAGTACAGGCAGGACAGACGGGGCGCCTGACGGTGACGGCGATGCTGTTGACAGCACAGTCCCCGGCTCTGGTCGCATTCCAAGCTGTGGCGGCAATCGTCATCTATAATGCATTTACATTTAGACATTTGTCTAGCTGTTCATTCTCTCAGTGTATAGCAGCTCACAGTGTCGTCTGGTGACCTTTCTTAATGATTTAAAAGACGCTTCTGCTGCAGCAATTTTGCGCTGCCAACCATAAGAGAAGCTCGAAATCCTAATCAAAGGTCATTTATATTGTCATAAGCAAAACTAAGGCGATGAAATCATAACGACCGTAATAAATACATAATTATGCATCAAAGCATCGCTCGACACTCAGCATCTCTTTAAATCCAAGTGCAAACATTTTTGAACCAGATGGTTCGGAGGGTGCTTTTTGATGACCTTTCTTAATACTGTAATACTGTTCTTAGGCGTTAAACTTTTCTTAACTGAACAGTGCCGATGAGATAAAAAACAAAAATGGAAATTATTGAAAGATCATTTGCACTGCTAGTTTAAAGCGCGCTGTACTTTGAACGATGAAAAAATGCTGATCACAATAAGTACGTAATTATGCATCGAAGCAACATTCAACATTTTTTTCATTGGTTAAATGTCACAACTTTTTGCCAAATGATTTCGGCTTAAATGTCAAGCAAAAAAACGCCATGAAAGGACATTTGCATCCAAGCTGCTCCGCAATCGATTATTCTCATTTGGAGTTTACACAAATCAAAGAGTCCTCCGCAGCAAATTACACTTGGCCAAATATAGCCACAGCCGGAGCGCGCTCGCGCGGGCTGTGTGCGCGCGCATGTAATTGGCCGAGCAAATAGCGTCGTGATTAGCGGGGAAATTGAGTTTGTTGACTTACTGTACTGTTTCCTGGCCACATCGCGATTCTTGGGCTGGCACGTTTTGTATCCCCGGGATCCAGCGGTGAGGGCGCATTCCATCCCGTTACCACAGGCCGCATCCTCCTTGCAGATCACTCCCTCGTTGGGATTGGGCACACAGGTCCCCAGTGTGGCCACCGCTGCAGAGAAGCGCAATTACAGTTACCAACACATTGTGTATATTTATACGTCTGTACACTCATCGATCCTGTTGGCTGACGCACGCCAGTTGTTATCCTGTTTGCATACGATGCCGGGAGTAATTTAAATGTACAACTTAAAACGGGTATTTAACGGAATGCCGTGTGTTTACAGTCCTGGTCATGCAAAATTCAGACACAATACGCTGACTAACAAAATTTGAACAATGGTCTTCCATTGGTCACGCTCAACCTTGGTGCTCTACTTTCTGTTGATGCCAGTAACTGTCGCATCGTCCGATCGATTTTTTGTACAACAAATTTTTGCTACCGGCGTTTGGCAATAGAAGATTACGCACCAGTACTGGAAAGATCATTTGCAAATAAAAAGGGTTACAGAAAGGTTTTCAGAGAGATAGTTTTCGATAGCAACAACGGTTTCAAACCGGTTTAAAATACTAGGATGTGACGAAGACGAACAGTATACCATAATGACCCTGTATTCTAAATCCTAATTACAATAAATTTGGATCGTGTTACCAAGACTTTTGAAGAACCGTTTACATTTTCCCGGCTAAACTGTTGACTGACCTTTCTTATTATCCAGTTCGGGGAATTTGCACAGCATATTCTCGCAACACCCGGCATCATCCCGGCACACCGTTCCGACGCAACCGTTAAACTCCGGCGAGGGATCCTGTAACGCGGAAGATGAGGAGCGAGGGGTTATCTCATGGTTAAGGATATTCTACAGGAGAAAGCGCCTGTGACGTGGTGACCATGCAGGAAAAGGAAAGAGATTAAGCAAAAGCGCAACACACCGACACACGTGACACAGCGCACACTCCAGGCGAGAAAACAGGAAATTAAGGGATGACGGTCACACACGCACACACCGCTATTCCCCATCACGGTAAATCAACACCTCGACCCATAACTGTCAATATCATGCTTGACCTTTTGCGGGTGAACAGCCACTCAGGCGACCGTCACGCGACCCAATAAATCAGCCCACACATGCAGCACACAGAAAGCATACAGCGAACATATTTCACAAAAATTTTATGGATGCAATGACCTTACGTAGTTTGGCGTGCTGACGGTTTTAATGTGCGCCAGAAAAGTGTTTTTTCTAAGAAGCTGGTGTTACTGCGTAACTGCCCTTTATGGCATTGTTATTGCAAATTCATCAAGAGGATTCTGTAGCTGCAAACGTCGGACCATCGTAAGACTGCCATTACAGTCGCTGTTTTTAACGATCCATTCAGTCGGCATTTCCGCCGATCGTAAACAAGTATCCACTAGAAAAGTTATTTCGGCATTTTCTGTAATACTCTCCCTGAATACTCTATAGCCACAGACGACACTGATATGCGCAGCAGGAAAAACAAGATTCCCTACTGCCACGACCACCGCTGTGCGTGCTAACGATCCCCAATCGATAGATCGAGCGCTGCTTGTACAGAATTGCTAACAGGGTGGGTAAGGGGAAAATCGATACGAAGTTGCGTAAAACGATCAGCTGGTCCCATATTTTTGTGCAATAGAGCAACCGACCACTTGTAGCGGTCAGTGTATCGAGTGCGTCGTATACGCGTTCGATCCATTGAGTGGCCGGGCCACTTGTCGTCGAAACGGGAATCTTTAAACCAATTTCTTGACGACGTATATATGTTTTCAAGTATATATGTGTGCCTTGTGAAATATTGATAAACCGGGCATATTTGCATTCGGCCGTTCAATTATATTTGCTAAAGGTCATGGTTAAGAATGCCTGTGGATCGATACACGCGGCCTCTGGTGGTTCATTCGATAGTTGGACAACCTTTCGCGGGCGATGTGCGTCATCACATCAGTTTGGATGAGTTGTGATGGAAATTCTGCGAGATACCAGTTTGGGCCCAACAGATACACACAAACATGTAATGTAATTAGGCTGCTATTAACCCTTTGGGTATGGCAAATTGATCGAGCATCATGTGCAGAATCATGATTACAAAAAAAATATCCATATTTTCAGCGAGGCTTTTTTTATTAAACAGACCTAGTAATAATTTTATACCGACAGTAAAGCTGTATTGCATAAGCCGGCAATTACACAAATGAGTCCATTACAATGAAAGCATTACGAAGTCCGGCGTGTAATCAACCTTGACATTGGGGGAGAGTGTGATGAAAATTGTTTTGTGCGGTGCAGTCGAGCGCATAAACATACAATTGCTCTTCATGCCCATTTGGCCGGAGATGCAACGTTAGTAATTTTCTTAAACGAGCGGCACGCGCAACGATCGGCCAGGTCGCACCCCAATGCGGGAGGCAGTCAAGTGGAAACCAGTGCACTTCCTGACTCTTCCGCTATCCAGTGTCTTTCTAAAGCGCTTTTTCCTTATTGTTGCAATCTTCCCTAATTTTTTAGCATTTATTTTTACTAGAAAGCGGCTGCTGTCATTTCCTGTTATGTTCCTAAATTTTTTAACGTTTATTTCCAGAAACCCGCTGCTGTAATTTCCTGTTATGTTTGCCGGCTGGTTACACTGCGCTCGTCAACGGAAGCGGTATGACCCGCACTTTTTCCACCGGGCGTTACGCCCGGCTAACTTTCGGGGTCGTGGGGATAACCGTATTTTTTACAAAGAAAAAACCGATCTCCCCAGTTGGCTAATTTGACCGTCCTATAATTATCGTTACAGAAAATGGTACAACGCATTTTCTCTGCAATCAGTAAATCAATGATAGCTTCATGTTGAGCTGGCCTATAGTCTAACAGAACATAAAAACAAGTGCACTATTTCTGATCATCGTTTTTCCTCTACAGTAACAACAAAATGGAGAGATCCGTGCTGAGCGGATATGATCGATTTGCCGTGGCTGGACCGCTAGCGCCACATCCGCAATTAATTACCAAAACCCGAACCGGCACTGGACGGCTACTATATATCGCTTCCTGGCCTGCATCGGCAATCAACTCCCTGGTGTGTCATCTTATGAATTCGCCAAGACTGCCAATGGTCTAAATGTAACTCTTTCCTTATCCGGCATTATCTGACTGCGGATTGGCAATAAAAATCCCCCACCGGTCCCGGGAGACTGCGGACCGCGCTAACTCCATCAAACCGCTACTTTATTAAGCGTGTCCCTGTGACGTCAGGCAATTTTTATCTAACCAGTTTTTGGATGTCCTAACGCCGCGTGTTGCATGTAGTCGTATAATGATATGCTTAATACGGAAAGAGACCATCGGAAGAAATGATGACTGCAGGTCGTGGTGGCCCGGGCTTCCGGTGTAATTACCAGAGAATCGAATATCAACGATGTGTGTCAACAGCCACAGGGTGTAATGTGTGATTGTGCGCCTTATTGGAAATGACATGATTCTGGAAGGGAACGCGTGTAAAGTGTTGTACAGGAAGGTTTGGCTTTGATCAAGCGAGTGAGAAAAATGACCCGGAAAAATATGAATCGCCTTTTGTCAAAAAGGAGGCAATAAAGACATTGTACAATTACACCAACGCTTTGGCGTACTATGTAGTAAATCCGAAAAACAGCACTAAGTGTGTATTTTTGCTATCTTTTGCTGGGCATAAAGCAGCTGAAAAGTAAGTTAGCAAAGCAACAAAACAGAAATAAAATTAGCTGGTTTGCCATATTTTTCGGGACACTACAAACTCAAATCACAAAACAGCCGAAAAATGAATTAGTGAAGCAACTGAAAAATATGTAAATTTAGCTTAAAAGAATGAGTGCTGCGGCATGCGTAAGACAGTTTCACCACAAGGTCACAGACTCAATACTCCCGGCGCATAGTTTAGTGACGTTGGACGAATAAATAAATACACTGAAACACAGAAATGAATTATTACCTGTAGTAGATCCATAGCGCTCCGGCGTTGCTGATACCACATGCCGGTACGGGGAATTGGTGCACCGGCTGCAGCCGCGGCGGGTTCATCATCATAGTCGTTGCTGACCGGTCGGAAGGCCTCGCGGTTGCGGTACATGGCGCCCATCCATGCCGTCACCGGCTGACTCCACAACACACCCAAAAGTACCCCCAACAAAAAAGCCCAACGATACATTGTCAACACTCAGAGAAAACAAAATTGCCAACGGTCGGCACTCAAAAGTTGACAACAGAAAAAAATATATGGCGATGAGAGGTGCAATCTGCGAGGGAAAGCGCGGGCTGTGCCGGCTGGCAGTGGCTTTATAGCCCGTTGCAGTACGGCGCAGGCGGCATTCAAGTGGGATGTTTATCGGTGGGGCGGGATCAATGACGCCGCACCACAAATCACCGTCAAGTGTGTATGTATGACGCACACATATGTATACCCTCGATCCGGGCAGGATGCGGTTGTAAAACCGAGTACCTCGCGTCAACACGATGAGCGGCGGTTTTTGCCCGTAGAGGCTAATGCATTAATTCCCATTTACTCAACTTTGATTTCCTGGTGTAAGTGGCCTCTTGTCAATGGCGACGGGATAACATATTTCATTACAACGACTAAAAGCCGATCACGCTACATCTTGATGTCGTCACCTTTTGTACACAATAACCTTGATTTTTTTGCTTAAGACACTGCGGGTAGCGCGTCATCCAGGCACGGTTACATAAGGCTTTTGCATTTATTTGCATTGACAGTCACCGCAATTATTGGTTTTTACTCATCAAGTGCCGGCAGCAAGATACAGTTCGCGGCTGGTGAGTACAGCTATTGAATAACCGAGGTAAAATGAAAAGGATTTTCTTGAGCGGCACAAGGTTCCATTATGACGTCAGACAGTGAGTTATAAGGACATATACACTCTCTACTTTACAATCATCTTCCTGCACAGAAGCAGCAGGATGAATAATTCATAAAGGTGCCCGGTGGAACAGTATGACAGGCAACAACGTAGGGAAAAGCAAGGCACAGAGAGAATAGATCAGTGGAGATTCGTGGCGCAATGTGGAGGGGGATGCCGTGTTGCAGCGGTCCGTACTGCATATGCACAACTGGCCACGGCCGTTCGATTCATCCATACACACGTCACTGTGTACCAGGGAGTGGCTGATATCCAGTTTGGCCGTGCAGGTGCGCCAAATACTTTCTTGTTCTGCAAAAACCAATAAAGCAACTGATTAGCTATATTGTTACCGGCTTACCCATAGCTGCGCGCTAAAAAGCCTTTACCGGTGTTACAAAGGGTGGGACAATGGTCTTCATAATCGCTTTCGTGCATGTATTGTGTAATTTATTCTATTTGATTTTGTTAATTACGAGTATTTACGGACGCATGTTGGTTAAATATTAGCTGTGACCTGGCACATATCTACCTGCAGTGCTCTATCTAGATATCCCGTGAACGATTTTCATACAAACCCAGTGAATATGCCAGGTAAGCCCAGTTGTTGCTATATGCGCCTATACTGTAGTTTTGCTACGAGTATAGAACGGGATTACCCGGTCTCCGGTTACGGCGTTCTCAGCTGCTCCCGCTCTTCCAGCCAAAATTTACAAAATATATCCTTAGCCGGTGTGGTGCAATTCCTACACATTTACAAAACCATCCACATCCGGAGAAACGTTTTCACAGGTTTAATTAAGGCATGAATGGAACGAAAAGGGCGTAAGAGAGGGACATTACCTACATTTACGACTATACACTACAAAAATCAAAACGGCATCTGCTTGTAAAATTTAGGATCTACAGTAAACGTTGACTTGCACTCATAAACAAAGCACAGTCGATTTCCCGCTCGCTCTGACTTGCATACTTCTATCAGTTGTGGCAAAGCATATCGACGTATTACTGGATCTTCGGGTCTTTGTTTGCTGAGTTGGTCTAGTGCCTGGGTACATACTGGAAGTACAAGTACTATAATGTATTTAATACACAAGTAAAACAGCCGCTTTTCTGCTGTCTTTCCTTTTAAGCAGTCTCTGCACACACACGTAATCGAACATAGCGAACGAGAGCCCGATAACGTAACCGGCTACCACATGTGGAAATGGTAGCCAGTTCCAATTGTGCCGGCGTTCAACTGCGGCAGATGCCGTCACAGAGACCGGTCACTACGCCTTAGTCATAACGACATAGTACTGAGGTAATCCGGCTCTCGAACACCCTAGGTACGCAATTTCGTTTTCGTGCTTTAGAGGCGTTGATCTCCCAGTGTTACACATTACAGCCTTTTGCCGGTCAGAAAAGATTGTTCGAAATTTTCTTTCACCACAGGCTACTTGTAATGTTCGAGATTCAGAGTTGTCCGCAATGAAAATGCTCGCAATATCGCTAAGAGATCTCTCAAACCCTTTCTTATTATCTGCTAGAAGATGGTTTCCGTCGCTCTTAGTCTCACCAGCAGCATTTCTGTTCTCGTTGTATAAAAGAACGCTAAAAGATTTCAAAAATTCCCCAGAAAACAATTTGAACGTCTCCGATGACTGCCTAGCCTACTCATTAAGGACTTCCGGATTTTTCTTGCTACATGCGGGTCCCATGTGCCATGTGGATAGGTGCGAGGCCATTAATAAACAAACCCCAAAGAATGTTATTTCCGTGAGCATTGATGTTGACTAGGTTTAATTTGACGCGTTCTAAAACATAGGGTGTGCGGCGTGCGCCCTTCGTATGCAAAAAAAATCCTGTAAAAATGAACGAGTTCGTGAACATTAAATTTGTGAGGCATGTTTTCCAAATTGTACCCACACGGCCACACTCCACAGTATCCCACGATATCCTGGGTCCCTGACAGTATTTTCAAATGTAGGCTACAATTGTCTGTCCTGTTATTTTTTGTTGGCTTCTTGTTTCAATGCCGTATCCCACCGTATTTTCGCAGAATGATATATGTATCCGACATGTATCCTATTACTCGTTACTGCAGATTTCCTGTTTCGTTGCCGCATCACCCCTTCTTTTTCATTTTCTCCAGGTATCCCACATGTAATTCTCTTAGAAACTTGAGAAACCTGAAAATACTCAACAAACGTAACGGGATACAATACCGATAACGTGGCTTGGCAGGGCTGTAGTAATCCCATGTTTTGCCGGTTCTTTTTTTAGTTTCCGAATTTTCTTGCTTCGCCACATTTTAATACGTTTCATTCTGTAGCAGATGTTTCGAAATTGGTAAGTATGAAGTATTGCAAGTCCGCGCTCTGAAGTTTTCGACTTCTCTATCACGGACTGAGCCTCTTGTCAAACTTAAAAGAAAATTTCTACACCTGTTGAACCAAGTGTTCGCACGTATCTCATAGATCTTAAGACAAGTACTGCATTAATGCCCTGCTTTGGGCTCTCAGAAGGAATCCACAGGCGGTTTCTCCATGACTCTACCTGATCCTGCTGTATTCCCGAAAATGGGGCATATACGTTATCTGACGGTTACTGTGGTGTAAATTTGCTGGTGCCAGTGAGGAAGACACGGACGTTGTGACCGCCACGCTAACATGACTGTACTGTGGCGCTACCGCTGGGCCTATCCATCGACCGTCGTATTCACTGCTGACCATTCAAACATGCTTGTCATCGCGCCGCTGACCTTGTGACCCTTGTCAAACTGAGCGCCCAAATTGTGAACACTGTCGAGAAAATTTAAGATCGGTTAGGCTATCGCAGATCGCCTGTAATATGCATTTTCCTTTCAGTACGAGTAGTGCCTTTTTTAAAACAGATGCGAATTTATCGTATTTTCATAAAAAAGCATGCATCATGAACTTAATACGCGTAGAACCATAGACTTTCACCTATGTATTGAATAGCAATTTATTTCCGAATCGGAAGTTCTTGTCGGTTATTATGCTGTGGATTTTTTCGACTTGGGATTACCAAACATCCTTGGAAGCAATGTAGAAATAAAACATCGCTGGCTGGAACGATTAAATATTATATTACCACTAAATTATTAAATTATATATTACTACTAAATTTTCGGCTATTCTACCATCTCAAGACTTGTGACGCCTCGATTACAGTTATCATCTTATGAGAATGTCACCTGTTTTTGAAGATTCATGAAAGTTATGCATAGAAATATACTCTAATGAAGGATTTAAAGTTGATGATTAAACTTTTACTTTCCTAAGGAAACGAAAAGCTATATGTAGCTTCAAAACTCAGCGAACCGTTAAATGCGTAGGTGCAAAATAGCAACTGTTTTGACGAGAGTGGCGTCTCTGTTTACACGCACAGTTCAGTGCCGGTAGGGAAACACGAGACGTCGTCGAGGCAGCAGCTTACCGTACTTGCCTGTGGACCGGTGCTGGATGATCTTTATACAGCATCCCTTACACGGTTCCAGGGGGAACAGGCCGAGTGACGAGTTGAAGGGGTCACGGCAGTCCCGGTCGGCCGTGCTCTTGCATTCATAGCAGCCAATGGTTTCTGTGGAAAGAATAACAGTCAACAACCCACATCAGCCGGGTACGCGGAAGGCAACCTGATTCCTTCAAAGGGCACCCGACACAAGCAACAACACTGACAGGAGAATCAATCGGATACACACGCCCCCACCTTCCACCGTGCTCCATTTACTCTGGGAAGCATCAACGTCACTCATGGCCATGATGATGAGCACAAAGAGCTTGGATGTGATGCAGGAGACAAGAGACAAGTCAAGCATTATTGAATACGACGGCCTGGAGAAAATAAACAATACAAGACAAAGGTATTTAGTCTTTTGCAGATTCTTCTGCTGAAAAATAAAATATTCTAAAAGCGCATTGTAGCCTTCTCGTGTTTCTTTTTCGGGTCGAGCGACAACTGGCATCCCAGGGAACCCACGTGACAGAGGAGAACAAAACAGATCTGCGTTACATGTTTGTACATTATACACAGCATCCTAAAAAGCTCTTTATTAGTTTTGTTGGGCGATAATTTAAAAGCAGTAAATTTTGAATTTCAAGTTTGCATTTTCTGAAACGCTTTGCAAAAACTTTTATGACGAATGCAAGTTACTACGATAGTTGGAGAACAGTGCTAGAAACGTTGCTGCCCGTTACTGCCTCCAGGGTACTCCGCTAGCATATATTCTTGGACTATTTATGTCAACAAAATAATTCTAAATGTCACCAAGTCACAAACTGATTCGACGAAAAGCGTAGCGCACACGTTTTCTGACGTAGCGCACACTCTTTCGAGCAACGTATATTTACGCTTAAGAGTATAATAGGAAGTTTGGACTGTGAATGCTACGTAGCATTCACAGTCCAAACTTCCTATTACGAAAAACTGATGCGATTGCAAGAACATCGAAAAATGTTTATGCTTAAACCATAGGCAGTTAAGGTATGGTAAACGTACTGTAAGTTTATTTTGTTGTAAAATTAATAAGGTACCTTTCAGCACTGGCACGTGACCTACAACATGATGTTGCTTGTGGCAAGCACGAAATGTTTTCCTCCTGAGCCGTGACAACTAGACAAACTCTCAAAACAGCGTGGTTTATCGTGCGTGGTATTGCTGACTAACAGCCTCATGATCACTGACAAGGTCACGAGAGTTCTTACAGATGTCCTTTACATTATTATTACAAAGCAGAAAAACCGTAAATTGTCTCCCTATCGCGTCATAATGTTCTACATAAAAAGTCGATACTGCAAAAAACCTTTGCTTTTAGTATTTGACATACTGTATGGGAAAACCTACAAGTGTCCTTTCGCATCAAACAGAAGCGCTTGTAACCGTAATGCCTGGGTAGCGGTACTAGTGTTGTAAACTTTCGCGCACCATCTGCGTTCGAACAGCGCTCTTGACCCGCTAACCAGCCAATGGGAGGCCCTCTACACGGATAAGGAGGAGTGTAATTGATAAGAGGACTTGTTCTGATTCCTCAGCACACTCCACCAACACCCACTTGACAGTACCCCGGGAAGAAGCCAGCTGACGCAGCACCATGAGAAGGGAACCCCGCATGCGTCACCCAGAAACCGCGTCGTGCTGGGTACATATATACTTCGACGTTTATCGCGCTCCGGACACTTCCAGAATGTGGACTCACGTACGTACCGGACACCAGAGACATTGCATTAATCTCGTGTACAAGCTTGTATAAAAACAATAATTACCATGTAATCAATTTTTAAAAAGATTTCGTCAGAGATTACCGTGTCTCTGGTATCGGTACGCGAAGCTGTATTATGAAAATGCCCGAAATACGGAAAACGTCGACGTATGCACAAATTCGATATCCGAACCGAAAACCAGCGGTCACTTACCTCGACAATGTGACTGGCTACTGGTGCGCGGCACAGATCCCAGCAAGATCATGCTGAACCCTGTAAAAAACACGCACAGGTAAGAAAACCGGCAAACGTGGAACCGTGATATCGCGCTACTGTAAATAACCAATCAGTACACTGCGATAAAAATAACTGTCGAAAAATCCTCGAGGTCATCCTGGACATTATAATTACGATCGGGGGATCATTAGCTGATGGAGAAAAAATCTGCGTGAATAACGAGCCCGCTCAGCACTGTGGCGGGACAATTAACCAGTGCTGGTTAATCAATTAATCATATCTGTCGGCGCTTGAGAGTGACAACGCATAACGATGTAGCCCGTTGAAAAATGCCGGCAGACGGAGCCATGTCGGCTGCAGAAAATGTAATAATAACTCTGGCTCGGGAGGAATTGTTGGCACAGGGGTTGATTCATCAATTATACGGTCGAAAAATAAAGTGGGAAATCAGCTGGCGACAATTTGTGCCGACGGTACTGGACAAATTTGCAGCGATTAATACTGTACATTAAAAATTCCAGTTTACTTTCAGAAGAATAAGAAAACGTTTTTTAACCCAGTGGAAAGTATTTGCACGTCCATATTTCACTGACTTATGCAATTATTAATTTTAATTTTTCACGGTGTTAGTAAAGCATCAATATAGAAAAACAAATTAGAAACTTAAAAAGAAATTGAGTGAATTCAATGTTTTGAATTAAAAAGGAAATTAAGCATGATCGTGTCGGCAATCAATATACTGTATGTAATTATACCGACAAATATAATGGATCTCTAATAACTTTTCCAATTGAAAACAATCGCAAAAGGGATCTATTCAGCTGAATTTTACTGTGCCCTAAAATTAAACTGAAAAGGCCCCTTTGTACGTTGTGTTCTTGATCGCGGCATAAATCTTGCATGCTATTTAATAATATTATTCGTGATCTCGCAGCTACAGTCAACGCAATTGAGCAGCGGCACTTAAAAATTCCAGCTTGACACGAAAATAACTTTTGCCGGATTTCAGAGCGCTTTACAAAGTTTCATAATAACGATTTCCATTAACCACGGTAGTCACTTTTCCGATAACAATTTATATTTACTTGTTATTCAGCCTGTCTGAGCAGAGTACAGCGACACTTACCGGCAAAACACAGGACATTCAATGCCGAATTCCCGGATAGATTAAGCGTATTGGCAGAGAACAATAAATGACAGACATCCATGCACGGTATCATCACTTCCGCTGCCATCAGATGACAATAAATCCTTTCACTCCACTTCCTCCTGGAAGAGCATCCATATTAGCACAACAGTGGCGAAAAAGCATATGCAAGCTCTGATCAGAAAAAATCCACGACCAGGCTCTTCCTCTCTCTTTCTGCGCCGCAGTAACAGTACAAGCACACACCACGAGTCCACGATCACCACTCAATCGCAAAATGAAAATAAAGCCAACGTACACACACTACACACACACTGTACACATGTCAAAAAAATTCCACCGACGTTGTCAAGTATTTATGAATATTAAATAGTCGGGCCGCAGAGAGACCATGCCCGCCGCGGGATCCCCCGATCGCCGTGTGACGTCATCAACTGTCTGCTCAGCGCGAGTTAATTTTACATCTCTTTGCCCCGCTTTATAAGCACACACACACGGGCGATCGCGATTTGCCGGGGACGATTGTATGCTGAGCGCTATATGAATAAATGATGACAGTATCATGCGTGCTGTTATATAGCGCTCTATCTATATGTGCTTTAAACGCATGGAGAGAAGGGGGATATCTAACTAGGCTAAATCCCGCTTGAAATGTATCCAACCGACATCTGATCCATTCCTGCCAGGAAGTACATGCTTAACGGCGCAGCCGGCACGCGGGCTCCGGTTACCGGTGTTCGAGCTGGCTTAATCCACAGCAGCCGCTTGCAAAGCACTGTTGACACCGCAGTACAAACTTCTCAAAATATCCACCCGGAGAAAATCGTTAAGGTCGCCTATTAGCTGCATTATAAATAATTGAAAGGGTTGGTACCCCGTTTTTATTTGCTATTTTTTCTTGGGTAAACGGGCGAGTGCATCTTTTTGATACATCGTATACTTAAAATTGTGGCGCGTGCCAAAATCCACCGGGATGCGAAAATGTCACGCTGAATAAAAATACCACGAATTATACACGAATCCCCGCAGCATGATACGCACTTAGTGCAAAGAGCCCATCCGCATTTAGCCTGAGCAGAAAAATACTTGCCGGAATAATATCGCACCTGTCACTGAATATTAAGCGTTTTCGTGTGATTCCTCGCAACAGCATATGCAATTATTTGATTTGTGTGCGGCATTCAACGTGGCGCGTTTGAAGGTCATCCGTCCCTTTGTATGCTTCATCTGTCGCATTTGTGAAGCAAATGCTGAATTTGTTATTTAAATTGCCGGCAGATCGCATTATGTTGTGTACAGCTGAACAGGGAACATCTTCCTGCAAATAAATTACACGCTTCAAAGGGAGCGTGTGCAACGTTGCAGGCGGTGCCGGTTCCCAACATTGGGACTACATGTTGTAATCCCCTGCATTTGCATTAAGTGTGTGTTAGATGGTGGTATCAAAATGTGGAGATGGCGCGCGGTTTAAACCGTAATGCGATCTGCCAGCGGCATTGTTAGGGGGGCGTGCCGGATGATTGATTCCCTACCCTGTCGACAAAGACAGTGAAAAAACCATAATGGCCAATATGTTAGCAGTCTCCGCCGGCATTTAATCACGCACACAAATCATGTATGTGCCACAATGCCTGATCGCTGCATGCATAACGACCATTAGTATTGAGGATTATGTCTTCCCGGTCAGCGTGATTCACTGGCGCATGAAGTGTGACGTACCGGGAAAGCGGAATAATTATTTCTCGAATGGTTCGGGGAATGCGGATTTCTATTAAGCAGTAGCTAACAAGATAAGCAAAAGAGGATCCGCGGGGGCCCCGAAAAATTTAAACACTACAAAATTCAAATTCAAAACAGATTTAAATTCAATAATTTAAATTCACAAATAGATTTTTATTCGACAAACTTGGAGTCTTTTTGAGTGCCTCGGAAACTAACGGATATTTTTTGAAACCTTCAATCGAAACTTTGAATTTCGTTGCTCATTCGTAAGGAAAAAATTTATAGTAACATAATATGCATTCTTAAGAAAAAGTCTTTTACGCCGGTTACAAAATGCTTTCGACTATCGTTTATTCTAAATTAATGAAGACAGTGTTTGCGTAAGATTCGTGGAAAATTATTGATTACCTTCTTATTTAGCAACTGTTTTGTTCACATAATTTCACAATCTTAATAGCAAGAAAGTGGTTAGATGCAGTGCCGTAAAATGCAAAGGCGAAACATTTGTCTTACTAATAAATATTTATGTAGAATATAAACAGTACACAAATAATAATAGTAGTCCATGTCCATTTAATATTACACCGGCAAAATCAATACAAATGCAAAATGATAAAACATACTACCATTTTCATGAGCTGCAAGTCATCGATACATTTATCGATCAATTTTTGATGAAGCGAGCAATTTTTAATGATTGATATTACCGTCAACACCACACATCATGCATGCAAGCGTATGAAGCGGAGCAACGACAGAAAACCCAGCCCGCAGCACGACACTCTTAAAAAGCTTAACTTACCATGTACAAATGAGCCAACTGGCAAGCGGTAATCAAACCGATCCCGAACGGCCAACACAGCCCACTGCTTAATCCGCTCTCCACTCACCTGCAGCTCGATCCACCATAAATCCGCTCATCCGCAAACACGATCGCTGTTTTTACCGAGAGGATGATAATATACCGAGTTATATATGGCCAACGGGGACGCCGCATGCAATTTCCCCTCCTAATCACTATTTCACTGCGCCGTGCAAAAACACTGCACCGGGATCCGCTCTCCCCAGACTATACTACATCGTGTCGGAAATGCTCATCCACACTAGCTTGTGTCGCGCTGCTGCTGTCGCGTCGCCGTCAAAGGAATTAATCCCCGTCAGATGGGAACAGGCCGTGGGTAATTGAAAGAGAATTGAGTTAGCTAAACACTTAATAGTTGCCTATGCTGAGATTTACACACTTGTTGGATCACACACACACAACAAGAGACCGTATATATAGGGTCTATATAGGCACGCGCAGCTCCCAGTTGTGCTGTACTATTTTAGTTATAATTTTCTCCTCGTAGATTACTCAGTGGGCCAAGAGGAAACTCGATTGCCTCGTCCAGCATCGTGCGATCCACGGCAGCCGTACTTCTTCCTGCTAGAACGCAGCGCAGCGCTGTATAAATGCGCGCACCACCGGATGTGGACGTTGCGCAGCATAGCCCGTACACAAAAGGGGAAATCAATAATTTTTGCATACATTGCTGATGTTCAGCGCGGGAATATGTAAACAGAAAAAGTGGTCCTTAATGCAGCCATAGAATTCCTATTGATCTGCTCTTGGAGACATGTTAGTCTAGGCCGGCTAAAGCTGCATAATGGACACAATACACCGGCCTCGACGTCAGCATTATCACGCTGTAAACGACCGGTGAATGTGAATGGTTTACTCGGCCGGACATTCCCAAAATAGTGGATAGTCGATATAAACCGACAAATAAAAACGTCTTTCTAGCGTAAAATCTATTTAGATTTCTGCAGTTTCACGCACACTGAAAACAGCACTGTGAAAGTACTGTACGGTACTTCAACATGCAAATGACAATACAGAGCAATCTTACAGAGCCAAAACGTACAGTAAAATAATATACCTAAGTACGCAAATTGGCATGATCAAATAATGCTGCTATTTAAGCAAGCAACTCGAGTTTGCAATAACAAATTTCTCATTAAATTAGGGTAGGAGATCCAAAAAAGCACGTAAACATAACACTTTAACCGTGTATTTTCGCATAACAAAAACTTCAGTACCAATGCGATTTTGCGGCTTGACGCTGCCGTTCACTTATACTGTGTCCGTATTTCTTCGATGATCCACGTTCCGCGTAGAAATCCTCTTCATCCGACTCCATATCACTCAGTGTATCATCCTCAGGGACAGGACTTTCCCCAATTTGGGCTTTTTGCGGGAGTGTTTTCTCTGGGATGACCTTTTTCGAGATCTTCGGCACATACTGGATCCAGCACTTTCTATGACGTTCGTAATCCCGACCGCCAAGGCTGTGGAGATCTTCGAGTTGAGTGGGGAAGTTGACGTTGACGCTCTCCATCCACACTGAAACCTCTCCAATATTGTACAAAGTATTTATTAATTCCGCAGTAACCATCTTGAATAAGCCCTGTTCCCGGTAGTCAGGGTGGAGATACACCGCACTAATGGATCCTTGCGGCATGTACATGCAGTACACAACGGGAGCAGATGACTGCGCATGGTTGGTGTCAAAGATGGCAGCCGTTGGAAAACCTTTAGTGAGAAGTTGAGTGAAAAACGCTTTCTTTGCTTTTGCGTCACCGGCAGCACAGTTGGCGACAATTTGGTCGAGGTGCTCGACGGACAGGTGTCCAACTCGGAAGTGGTTGGGGATGGGGAAAGTATCCCGCCTGAAAAACACATAAATTTATTATCCGATGCAGATATTCAGAATAGTAAGACATGTTTGGGCTTTTACGTTGTACACTGAAGTGACTGAACACACCGATCTGTCCACAATGCCAAGTCGAAGTAGAAACAATTTCCACCCGTCCCAAAATTATCTCCAAACGTTACACGCGCAAACTGCTGATTGTGATCCAAGAGAATTTGGCCCAAATCCTCATCAACATCTGTTGGCACACAGCACAAATAAAATACTGTACATACATACGTGTACGCTGATGTGTAACCATATAATTGCGTAGTGAAGTTTGATCTTTGTTACCGATAAAGGTTGCAGTTTCGCTCCAATTAGCAAGCTTGTCGAAATTTTTGCGCAACAAATTTAGAAAACTTGGTTGGTTGTTGGCATAAACGAAGATGTAATGTCCGTTGAGCATCGGCACATTGACTAATTTGCCTTTGAACGGAGAAGTGCGGCAGATGCAAATTGCTGGCCTCGGAAATGTATCAACCATAACATCCATTCCCGGCCAAGCCCAGTCTTCCCGTAGTGCATTCTTGATCAAATGATATACCTGCGAACACAAGCTGTGGCGACTAAAATGTAGTTACCAGCAAGAATAAAAATTAACGCTGATTTGGAAATGTGAAACAAACGGATAAAATAAAATTTTATCCGTTTGTTTCACATTTCCGGCTTTTTTAAAGCAGCGTATTAGCCTCGCAATTATTAAAGGAAACGCTGCGGCTGTTTTGGGAACTTTACCGGGAAAGAACAAACTGGTTGATAATGCTGATTTTGGTTGTTTTTTTAATTCTTAACTGTGCAATGATGGCCGTAGTTAATGGAACTATGACTGTAATGTCGCGATTTGAAAATTAAAATGTAAGCAGTTTAAATAAAATTAATAAGAGTAAAAACGCAATGGCGCTATTTAATATGCAGTAAAATTATGCATGATGATTGACTATACCGGCAGACTTTTGGGAAATTTGGATTTTAACCAAAGCACTAATTGGGGCAGTTCATGCTTGGCCAGTGTTCGAGGCACATTTTCTGCTTTGTGCATGTTTTTCGGGTGTATCGTATCTGCTAGTGCCAACGGAAACGTAGAATCCGATAATAAACTTCCAGAAATTACTGGAGAGGCCTGCGTTGGGCCAGGGAAGATCTAGCGTGGAGATTCAAGGATAAGAATGGTAATTATAAGCTCAGGCAACTATAAAATGGAGAACTGCACTGACAAATGGCAACCTGGTGATCTTTATATGCCATGAGGAATTATGAGTTTATGTCTACAAACTTTTAGTAGTATCATAACTATCAGATCGATAACTAAAAAGAAACTGTATAAGATAATAAGTGTAAAGAGATATCTTTATTTAAGCTTGATGTAATAGTCGTATCAGTAGGATGATATCATGGCTAATAAAACATAACCAAGCATGCATATAGCGTGCAGTTGCATAGACGTATGGTTTGTGAGTTATGAGGATGCTGTATGATTGTATGCCTGTGTCTATCAGAACTGCTTTTATCAATTTTTAATTTTCAAATAAAGAATATGCCCCTTTTAGTAGTTGTTCTGTATGTAACCGGAAACAATAATCATATTGCAATAGATAAGTAGCCGGTATGTTCTGCTGTATAGACAGTACTGGAATATTCGCAAAACGATCAATAAAAACTGACAAACAAAATTTGGAAAGCGGAATAAGTTTAGAATTTTGCCGTTTTCAGTGTCATCTAAAAAATCTAGATACTGTAAAAACGAGATAGACAAGCGCAAATAAAGTTGTTACAATTGTGGGGTTTACGACAGTAAATCCCTTGTCTACTCTAATGAATGAGTACCGGGAATGTATAAAACAGTAATTAGCAATATTATTTGTATATCTTTTTAAATTACATACGTTTAACAAAAAAACTTTGAAGGGACTGCGCTTTCATACCGATACGCAAACTGGTAACAAAATAATATAGCATCTGCCCCACTGGAGCGTCGGGAACAAATGTGAGGAGAGCCAAAAAGTATAAAAGTCTTCTTTGATACCATAATATACACGTACAGAAATCACTCTTTCAGAGTGCATTAAGCGGCAGACCTCTCTTCTTAAAATTCGGCTTAGCACGCCGTTTCGGTATCGATGATTTTGTGTTTGACATCCGCCTGCTATGTTTCTGGATGACATTGTATCAACTTTCATTACCCAATCGACTCATAAGTACCTCGGTTTTGTGGCTACAGTCTTTACTGTCACATGTGCACAACATCTGCACATAAAAACAACTGCAAGTTAATCCCTTCCTTTTAAGGAAAGTGCATCAATGCTCTGGAGAGAATCATGCATTTTAAAAACAGGTTATGGAATCATTTGTTCCTGCTTAAAGCTGCTCTAGTTCACAAACCATCAGCAATTTAAAAAGGTCATCATTGTAGACGCTTCTAAAAAGTGAGAACCAAATCTAAAAAAGGGAGAAACTATTCTTATTGCACGTCTGATGCCCAGTTATGTGCGATATCGTCAGACACTCTCAACTCTATAATGATCTTCCGAAAGAAAGTAACCCACAACAAAATCTTCCCGCTCATTTTCCCAGGACGCTGATTTCCTTGGGGATTTACCTTGGGCATCTTTTGCCGCCCTCTTCTTTTTTCGGGCTAGCTTTCTGCCTTCTGCCTCAAAATCTGCAGAGACACGCTGCCGCTCTTCCACATTATGTCCGTATTTTCGCGATAATCCAGGATCCGCGTAGAAATCCCCTTCATCCAACTCCATATCACTCAGCGTGTAATCCGCAGGGATAAGGATATCGACAATCGGGGCTTTTTGGACCACTCTCTTTTTAGGGATAATTTTTCTTGGGATGCTCGGCCAATATCGGATACAACATTTCCTATGATCTTCATAATCCCGACCGCCAAGATCGCGGAGATCCTCGAGCTGAGACGGAATATTGAGGTTCACGCTCTCCATCCATACGGAAGTCTCCCCAATCTCATGCAAAGCGTTTAATAACTCAGCTATTACCACTTTGAATAGACCTTGTTCTTGATAGTCACGATGAATATATACAGCGCCGATTGATCCTTGCGGCAGGTACATGCAGTACGCAACCGGAGCAGAATTCCGCTCATGATTAGTGTCAAAGATGGCAGCCGTTGGAAAGTCGTTGGTGAGAATATGAGTGAAAAATGCTTTCTTCGATTTTGCGTCTCCGGTGGCACAGTTTGCTACAATATGGTCTAGATGCTCGATAGAGAGATTTCCGACTCGAAAATGCTCTGGGATTTGTAACGAATCCCGCCTAAAGAAGGCACAACGAAATTTTGGTGAGATACTTTGAATATACACGATAGGTAAAATACGTTTACGGACACACCTATCGCTCCAAACTGCCAAGTCGAAGTAGAAACATGATCCACCAGCCCGAAAATTATTTCCCAAATACCCTGAGTGAATTGCTGGTTGTGATTCAAGAGAATTTGGGCCACTTCCGTATCCACATCTGTAGACACCAAGAACTAGCTACAAATCATATGTACGCGGCAGTTCTAACAAAATAATTTCGTAACAACGGTTTGTCTCATTACCGATAAACGTAGCGGTTGCTTTCCAGTTAGCAATTTCTTGAAAGTGGTTGCGCACAAAGTTTAGGAAGAATTGGTGGGTTTTGGCGTAAATAAAGACGTACTGGCCGCTGACTAGTTTGCCGTTGATCTCCGTGCTTCGACAGATGCAGATGGACGGATGCGGATAGCTGTCAACAATAACTTCCAGACCCGGCCATGCCCAATCTTCTCGTAATGCGTTCTTAATCAAATGATACACCTGCAAGCACACAGTGTGCTAACCGATATTTGACAGAACTTCTAAAACAACAGTTTACTGTTACAAGGGAAAATTAACGACAGACGTAGCGTGATTTAATGCTGTATATGAGACGGTACCGGCAAGCTTTTGGGAAATTTAGATTTCAACCAGGGCAATAGTTTTGGCAGTTCGTATCTGGCCACTGTTCGAGCCAGGCGTTTTTCTGTTTTGTACATGATAACAAATAAATATCGGATGTGCTGTACAGATGTCTGCTACGAAAAAATAAAATTAGGAAGTAAACGCGTGGGAATCACTGGGGCCGTTGGCCTGCTAGTGAAGATTGTGGAGATTTAACAACCGAATTAGTTATTCCTCGTAGAAGCAGCTACTGAAGAATTATATCAGTAAGACACAATCGTCTGATTTTATATGTCAGGAAAGCAATGAGTAAAATCTGATGACATCCTAAACTTTGAGTATCGTATCAGCTCACAAATCAGGTAAGTACTCAGTTGGTGTTTAGAAGTCATCAAACACAATATGCTTTTGAACAGTACCCACTACCCACTATTATTTGCAGTGATATCAGAAATATGATATCATGGCTGAATTTGCAACACAACCAACACGCGCTTAATGCATGCAGGCAGTTCGTAGAACATATGCGTTATGGCTTATGAGCAATATTGTACCGGTATTCAATACGGATCCGGCCGGGTTGTCAAATTTTGGCTCTAACTTCAATAATGGACGTCTAGTGCGACATGAAAGATACCATAGATCGATGACCTTTTTAGGTTATCAGAAGATAATATCAAATTTCGATAATATGGATACTACATAGCGGCATAAGCATTTAACCTCTAAACCGCCCAGCATCCAACTCGAAATACTTACACTTTCCTTTCAACATTACGCGGGAATGTTGTCAGAAAACGGAAATTCGATTGTTGGACAACGTTTGCGCTACCAGTGACGTCATGGTACATGGTTATAAGTGACTGCATTGACCGCGGCAGACTTTTCAATTTCAGTTCGAGAATTTTTGATTTTGACTGTGACAATGGTAAGAAGCGTGGCAGCTCATATGTGGTCAATCTCCCAAACAGAAGATTTTCAGTTTAGATTTGTATCGGGATTCGGTTCGATGAGAGTAAATATGGCAAGTCTTCAAAAAATTTCTGGGGTCTTTGGCCAGTTAGTTGTAGCACGGCGGTTTTCTTATCGATATTAAGCAACAGTAAGTTTATCGATAAAACATTTTGAAATTAGCGAATGCAAACTGGAGAAGAATATAACGCTGTAGCATTAATCGCTACGAAGCAGCTGATGGTGGGTGGAACCGACGACCTTGTTAACTTCGAATACAGTGTCAGGATAGCAGCGGAAAGGGTTGTAATACGTTGTTTTAGGACAGAATATTATGACTGTATCAAAAAGAAGACTGATGCTACTTATCGCGCCTACTCACTTGATATTGCAGAATAACCATGCGTCTAGAATGAAGCAAAAGTACGCGGTATTTATGGAAAATATGGTTAGCAGCTCTACTCAAGACAAGCGGGCGACATCAGACGTTACAGAAAGATGGCTTCTTGCTATTATCACCAGATAATGCGGTCCAAGAACAACGTTAAATGCAAGTGTAAACTGCAAAATATTTAATTAAAAAACGGTTAACAGACTGCTCTTTACTATAAAAAGGTGATAAGCTACTCCTCGCATCTGCATTCTGCCAGATGCGAGTGACGAGTATCGTCGTCCTCGCTCGATCCATTAACAGTCAACTGACGGATCACCTTCTCGTTCGTATTCCCGCTGAAGTGATTCTCTCCTTCCGCTTCCTCTCGGAACCGGCTTCTCTCTTTTCGCATCGACACTAACCGAGTTGCGACCACGTCTTCCCTCGCTACTTCCACCAGCTTTGCGTGACTTCTCATGCCCCGCATCGGTCTTAAAGTCAGACCTGCCTTTTTCCTGAAGCTTAGGATTCGCAGGAGTATTTGGTGAATAAGCCACCCAGCACTTGTTGTGGTGCTTGAACTCTCGGCCTCCCAGATTACGGAGATCTTCAATTTGATTAGGAATATCTAAATTCATCGTCTCCATCCAGACGGAGACCACTCTCGTGCACCACAGACGCCCTAACAAATGGGCAAGTAGTACTTTGAAAAGACCTTGTTGACGGTAATCGTGATTGATGTACACATGTCCGACGACCCCTTGAGGCCAGTACATGCAGTACGCGATGGGCGTGTTGGGTGTACTGCGCTTGGCGTCAAAGATGGCTGCACTGGGGAAATGGTGTGTGAGAAGATACTCGATAAACGCTCTTCTGTTCTGTGGTTGCCCGTACGCGTTGGCGCAGTTGGCTACGATCTGGTCCACATATCCGGTGTGGAGTTCTCCCAGACGAACATGACTGGGAAGTTGAATTCTTGCTAACCTGTCAATAAATTCAATCATGAAGTTTTACTGTACAAGATTTTCGACGAAAGTACAGTAGGTATGTACTAGTTACACAAGTATGCGGTCTCATGTCGCGACTAGCGACATCATCTAATTTACGCGAGTATAAATCGTAAAGTTACAACTGTTACAGCGCAAAGGCAAGCACGTACTCGGTATTCCATGTTGTCAAGTCAAAGTGGAAACAGCGTTCTCCGTTTGGAAATCCTTCGGTGCCGGGTACATGTGTAAAGCGTTCACTTGTATCCAGAAGAACATTTGCTAAATCGGCATCGATGTCTGTAGCACACGGTACAAAATATAAGGGATAATAGAAGTCGGCATCGTATGCATGAGTATATACCTGTAAAGGTTACGCTTTCTTCCAAGTGCACCAAGTCAGAATAGTTTTTCAGCCAAATGCACTGGAAAGCTGTGGGGTTGGCTGCGTAAAGGAAGATATGTTGACCGTTGAGCATTGACACATAAGACTGTTTGATCGTCGACGAATGTGGCCGGCATATACAGACAGTTGGTTGGGGAAATCGGTCAACAAGGAACTCCATTCCTGGCCAGAAGAAATGGTATGGATAATGGTTTCGCAGGTTGTTCTGTGCCATATGGTACACCTGTCAATACGTCATAATTGTTTTGTACTGTTTGCATTTAAATCGTGTAAAAGCGTGATTCTAGCATCCGAACGCTTCCCACTTGCCGGTAAGCTTCGAGGAAACTGAGATTTCAACCATGGCAAAATTTCCTGAAGTTCTGCGGTCGTTAGCGTTTTCATTGCGATTACCAATTATGGATGCACCAGCCTGGATTGGTACGACGGGCAAATTAAAGTATCTTCCAGGCTTCTAGACTAACGTCGATGCTTTTTTTATGATTGCTGCGATCAACAAACAAAAATGATCACTGTGCATAAACTGATCACAGCAGGATTTATTACTTTCGCCAAAACGCACAAGGTAAGCAACCCATGTGGTTATTGTGGCTCTTGATCAAAGCTGACTACGCCAGAATACTGTTGTCTTGTCGCTTGTGCTTCCCTGTGGATATACAGTACTCGTACCTACAGATGTACTACCATTGCCCGTGCCGACAAAATGTGAACGCATGCCTTTTAATGTACTTAATAAGCTAACGTGAATCGCTATCATAAACACTGGTCATAAGATTAAGTACAAAAATCAGTTGAAAGCAAAGTTTTGCTGATAATAATGGCGACGGATGTACAATTACTGTACAGATGCAGTACATTGACAGCTCGAATATTCTACGCAGTACGTAACAGCTATAGTAAAACATGAACACCGAACTACATCCAAACGTAATATTTACCAATTAAACGCCGGTATCTTTTCCTACCCTAAAAATTTATGGGTAGTCCTGTGGATTCAAATTAAAGCGCAACTGGATGTACCGTAATGAGTAAGAATAATAAATAACATGATACTACATTTGTCCGGGTACATACAACACTTCGTGCAAACCAATACGCACGAACTGCAAAGAGAAATAGCCTTCCGACAGAAGAAACCAAAGTAAAGTTTTAACTGTATCAAAAATTTTCCGCTCCTGCTCGTGTAGTCGTATGGGCAAATAAATGAATGCTCTCTGAGCATCGCGAGTGGCCACGGTTTCTTCATCATGTTTTCCCCCCGCAACAGGTTTCCTTTTGTGGAGTTAGTGGAGGCTGTCCAGCAGTCGATTCATTTCGTTTTCCACAGCATAAGGCATCCGTTCCCAAAATACGGATTCTATCCCAGATGACATTTCGATTGGTTTGTATGGCAAAATCACCACCAAAAGCGACAACGCCGCCTTCTGTTGTTTTATCTTGCGATGTACAGTTGTTAGGTATTACCGATGGAGCTGGCTGCAAAGAAAAAATGTATTACTCAGATGTCTAACCGAAAGTCCGAGATAAAGACATATTGTTACTTTTTAATGCAAATTTAGAATCATGCTTGTGACTGTCGAAATTAATTATTCACCATTACTCCCTGTGCATGAATAGGTATGATTGTACTTTGTATGTATGCCTACGGTTTACATTACTGTCAGTTCTTTATTAGTAATTTAGTACATATATGTTTGGATAACATAGACAGTTTGCGCTCTCCTGTGCTTATAATTTCTATATACAGTAGACAAACTCTGTTTTTGATTTTATCGCTGGTGGCCCTGTGATAGATACTTCTGGCTCTGGTTTAGGCCAGTGCAGATGTGCCCGTTTACCGCTCAAGCGGTCACTGCTGATCTGCTAACCACAGAAGTTTAGAGCTCTGTAGTGTAGCTTACCGCAGTGGTAGTCGATGTATTCAGCGTGTGACTGGTCGATGTCGTGTCAGATGTTGTTGCGGGAGTGACTGTTGTTGGTGTAGTGGTCGTTGTCAGTTTGGGTGTCGTGTTTGTGGACGTTGGAATAGATGTTCTTGTCGGCTTGAATGTTGTGGTAGTTGTTGATGGAGTGGTTGTCGTTGTAGTGGTTGTCGTTATTGTTGTTGGTGTGGTTATCGTGGGCTTGAGCGTTGTGGTCGTTGTGGAGGGTGTTGTTGTCGTTGTGGTGGTTGTTGTCGTTGGTGCTGTTGTGGATACGGTTACCGTAGTTGGCCTCACCGTTGTACTGGGTGTCGTAGTAACCGTTGTCGTTGACAGTGTCGTTGTCGGTAGCGTGGTTGTCGTAGTCCTTGTACTTGTGGTGGTCGCGGCCGTTGTCGTTGTCGGCTTTATTGTGGTGGTCGTAGAAGTGGTCGTTGTTGTCGGCTTTGTGGTTGTGGGCGTGGTGGTTGTAGGCGTGGTTGTTGTTGTCGGCTTTGTGGTTGTAGGCGTCGTCGTCGTTGGCGGCTGGGTTGGGATTTCGGTAGGAGCACAACCCACGAATCTAGCATCCAGACACACCACACTAGTAGCGTCGTTCACGAAAACAAACTTCCCCTCGTCGCATAGTTTAAGATCCGCCGTCACTGACGAATTACACAGAAGCGCATCCGTGGTTTGGCTCTCTGCATGCTGACAGCCTAGTTCATGACGTTCGCATTTGCAATATTCTTTGGTGCATTGTTCATTGGGATGAGTGGCGAAAGATGTCATATTGATTGGGCAGTTGACGGTTTTACACGGCACAGTGTCAGTACCGGCTTTCTCGGAGAGGGCAAGGGCGCTTCGAAAACGAATTCCTGGTGGGACAATTTCCCATGGGAGTTTAAACGGTGGCAGCAGCGCATCCCAGTCATCTTCTGTTTCCCAGATGTCGTCCCTGTTAGTGGGCTTATCATTGTTAAAAGCACGCTTCGCTCCCTTGTTATACAACTAAAAGCCGGACTGTGCACTACAGATATTGTAATCCCATTAACTATGCGACGTAATTTTGTATGCGTATTTTATTCTATGATGATTGCACTGTGAAACGGAGAAAATTAATACGAAAAGTGCTTACATGAGTCACGAGCTGGAAAACCACACTACAAAAACAATACTATATGTAAAACGTGGTACTGACCTTTCTGTTTCATAAGAATCGTAACCGCTACTTCCATTAATCAACATAATAGCATACCATCCACATACGCTTGCTGCAAGCGTCGTTCTAAATTCCGTAAACCACATGATTACTAGAACTGCGCAAAACGTTAAAAAAATTAATGTATTTCAAAGCCTTGCAACTGGGAGCTTTGTCGCAGTGTGCTCTGTTTTATAAACCGGCCTGCGGCAAACTGCTTTGATTATACGATCAAATCCGTGCCGTCGCATTTATATAATTTTATTTTTCGGCATCTTTTGCGATGACTTGCATCCTTTTACGAGTTTCCCGGTATTGCGTTATCTTCGCTGCAAAAGCTTTAGCGGCATTGGTTTCGTAACAACTATTTATAATTAAATAACTAGCGTTGTTGTGGTTTTCAGGTCTGGAATGAGATTGAGCTTTCAAGTTCAAAAAACCCGCATCGTCTGTAGACTGCGGAAATGTCGGTGTCGTGCAGTAAAATGTGTTAACGGTTTCAGATAAGCCTACACGTAACGTTATCGCTTCCATCACGCGACAAATCACGCACGGATGTCCATCGCTTTTGAGTCGGTACATACAAGTACTATGTAGCAAATGTTAGGAAATGGATGCAAGTCGTAGAGTGTAGTCGCTGTGCAGATACGGTAGATTCAAGTTAAAGCATTAAATTCTAATGCTGCTCCTTGCAGACTATACAGCTTATAATTATAATATATTGTACCTTTCACGAAACACGAGATAAGGTCACTTTGGAAACTTGGCTTCGGATTCGCGGAGAAGACAACAGGACTGAAAATACGCTCTCGATGGCAGTTATGGTCGTAAAAATCCAATGCCCAGTGATGTTTTCCTAATATACGCAGCGATGCCGTCTAATTCCGTGCTTTGATAAAAAAATGGCACAAAAAACCGAGAAAAAATAGGTTGTTGCCTGCCTAGTTACTAGTGTTAACAGCAAAATGCAATCGACTTGCCTGTGCACTGCGGCAGTGCCGCTTTGCGTTAATCAAGCGCGCCTCGCCTACCGCCAACGGGTGGGTGACGCATGCAAATGTACTGTAGTGGCTCGCACATCTTGAACCACAGAGTTGGTGTACGGGAAAAAAGCGCATCCAATATACACACTCTAACAGGGCCAAACGCACGGTGTGCACTGATAAATTTCTGATGTCTCAGAACATCTGGTCTGGAGAACCTTCTTGAATATTAAGAAAAATTAGAGCTCTAATAATTATTAATTATATTTATGCCCGAAAGCAGCCATTAACTTAGAGCTTCCCTGTCAACTCGAATTCAAAAACTGATTTGTTGTGGTTTTTGGGGTGCCCCTGGAGGGGGGAGGGGTACGTTCAGCGACAACATTCTACAGCTGCAGAACAATTCGAGCTCTCAGATACATATCTTTTTTCTTGGGTGAATTACAATTTTAATGAAAATGTTTGACTTCTTGGACAGAGTCACAGATTCAGAAGGAGTATTCATCTTAAAATCAAATCAAACATTATTTCATAGCCGTGCATTTTGCCCCGTTAGAGTGTGTATATTGGATGGAGTTTTTTCCCGTATACCAACTCTGTGGTTCAAGATGTGCGAGCCACTACAGTATTTGAAAACACAGCACAATCAGCAATTTAAAAAATTAAAAAAAATTGAAAACACAAATAAATGACAAGTTGACAACAATATCATAATTATTGTTTGAGTTCGACGCTTTCTTTTTACCTTTTATGTTTTTCGTTGTCCATCATTTACGGTGTTTTTACAGCTCCCCTATATTTCACTTTCTGGCTGGTTAATACAGCAAGTCTATCACCGTCTGTGTTCTTTGGTTTGCTCAACAGACTTCAATTATGTCAGAGAGTACCACAGAATCATCGGACGCGGAAAGGCGCACCAAGGTAGCGAAGCTTGGGGAATGTGCGAAGCACCTGCTATTCTGCGACGATATGAGCGATGTTCAGTTCGCGATCGGCCGTCATTATGGCGTTGAGAAGGTCTTTCCAGCCCACAGGTAGCTCTGCACTGATTATCGCTAACGAGTAACGATGGATCCTTATCCATAGACCATAGCCGAGCAAATCCATTTGGTTTTCTTTGCGATCGTGTGCAGGCTCATAATGGGTCTTCGCAGCCCTGTATTCCATACGATGTTTTATGGAAGTCTGCCCGACAGTGGCACAGCTCCCATCAGTATTCCCGACATTATTCCCGACGTCTTCGCGAATATGCTCAGGTACTGTGTGTGTGTGGACTCTTATCGACGTATCGTTACGACATTGCTGGCAACACAGCGAATTCTGCAGCTACATCTACACCGATACCGTCCAGACTTTCACCAAGGATAACGTGTTCCTCACACTGAGCTGCGCGGATAGGTATGACTTGCCATCGTTGGTAGTCCTGTGCACTGAGTACATCATGAATAAACTCAACGTCAACAACTGCTTGGATATTCTGGATGACGTATGTCGTCATGACTGAACTGCTTATACTACAGAGTACAGACACCGCTATACATATTGGTAGCAGCTAAATCGCGAATCTTTGTGTAGGCGGTGCTCTACGCAAGTGCTGCGCCGAGCATCCTTGAGAAATGTCTGTCGCTGATTGATGAATCAGCCACAACCATCTGGAAGTCAGACCAGTTCCGTGCTATTGGACAAGAGGCGCTTTGCACTATCCTTCAACGGGACACGTTGACCGCCAATGAAGACACCATTTGCGCGTCTGTTGACAAGTAAACCATGAAATTTTCGGCAGTTGGCCTCGGTTGGGTGAGTTTGGTACAGCTGCGGCTTTTATTAGACGGTTTTTGGCAGGTGGGCTGAGAATATGTGCAAGCGAAAGGCCATGGACGCTTCTTCGGCAAACCGACGTGAAGTACTGGGCCAAGCGTTTCTTCTCATCCGCTTTCCGCTCCTGACCGATGCTCAACTGTTGGATGGACCTGTGAAGGTTAGTACGGCCTTTACAGCGCACACTGGCTTATTCTGTTCTCACGCCTGAGCTGATCCTAATTAATCCAACGCAGTTATAATAGAAAAATTAGCGAACCTGGCCTTCTTGAGATATTCCTGGTTGCTGGTTGTCAAGAGCACCCGATCATTCTCGCGAAGGCACATACTTAATTATAAAACAGAGAGTATTTTATCATCGACATCATGACACCTCTATTTTGCAGCAGCGTAAAAAAAACATAGCCACCGGTATGCAGATCACTGAAGCGCCATCGGCGTCAGTTTAAACGAAATTTTGTGTTTTATTTTGTTAGAGCGGTTTGCTGCTGCAATCGGATGGCTGGGATATCTTACACTACAAGCACGCTACAATCAAACCGCAGCTGCCGTTCCGTACGGAGCCTCGACAAAGTGCGTACGCTGACGATTGCATTCCAGCCGTGTTTTTCGAAACGTCTTATCGTACTTTATCTCTAGACGTGCGCGCTGAGGGTGTTATCAGCTTTACAATTCCGGATGTGAGAAAGATGCAGGACGCTTTTGCGTTCAGCGATCCCATAACGGTCAGAAAGCTGCTGTGGTGAGGGGTTGAGTCAGTTGGAAAATATGCAAAGGTTGACGCCGTTTACATTCTTCGTTTTGCAGGAAGATAGGGGTTCACAAGCAGACTGACGGTCAGCGTGCTACTCTGTGCTTCTATCTGAACTGTTCTGGCTCTCCGAGAGCGGCTTCCTGGACGTGCTTGGTTAAGGCAGAGTTCCACCTGCTGCCTTGGAAAACAGGAATTGCACCACTTAAAAGACGTACGCTTGTTAACTGTGCGGTCATTGTAGCCTCACAAACCCCGTGAATGTGACCTTGGCAAGGTAATCGTTAAATGTTGCAGCGTTTTCCCGATTGTTTGCAAAGGACAGCAACTGCTGGGGATTCCCGCAATATATCTCTATGGAGGTAATGGTTTTGACCGGTTAAACCTTGGTTATATGATTCGTTCGCTTTGGCTGTTATATTCAGGAATTACTGGATCCGGCGAAAGGCTACGTCAACCCGGAGGACTTCTCTTTGAGACTGCAGGTTCAAATGACGGCTGAACTTCCAAGTGGAATGGAATGCATGCAGTGCGCCGGTGGATGTATCTGTGTGAGGAACACCGATCCCGCACAGAAATGATAAAAAATTTTGATTTAAAACGTTGTGAGTTTCCTCGCATCTTGAAATGGCGTTATCGTTTTCGGGTGGTGCAGAATTTTGTCCTAATCCTAGTTGCTAAATTTCCGGTGATCCAAGCGCTTATAAGTTTTGAGATGCAATGTTCTGCTGAATCGGGAATGTTTCCGGAGTTCTGGTTACGGATTCTGCTAGTGTTTATGAAAACGTTCTGAATACTTAAGTAATAATAATGCCTACCGGTGCAGTGCCGTCTGCCGAATACTGTACTCGTACAGTCGTACTGTATGTAGTGTTTATGTGCAGTGCTTTCAACTATTGAGGTGTACGGTAGAAGACTTTTCGTTGTTTTCATCGTTAGCAAACTATAACTATTTATCTTCCAGAATTGTCTACGAACCGAATCAACCGGTGCCTTTTCTACATAGAAACATTTCTTATATAGATATACAATACCTGAGCATGCCAAAGTAGTGGAACCTCAAAATACCTCTATGTATTTGTTTTGCATTCATGTACAGGTGTGGAGAAATTTCGCATGGGACGTTTTGTAGCGAAGACGTTTTGGGAGTTACCTTTCTGTAGTTACAGAACGTCCTAAACTGAACTTCTGCAAGAATATCTATATAAGTACTTACTGGTATAGGGGTTATAACTATCAGATTGTACCAGTAATTAAATTTAGTTTCAAGTAAATAATGAATGACAATATAGTGTACTGTGTTGTTGTTGTAGAGTAATTTGCAGATTTGTGAAATTTTTTTTGGAAATACAATTGTGTTTCTCGCTGATTTCGATTAATTCTTTAATTTATGTTGTTGCGTCCAAATTCTGTTAGAATCGAAAACACAGGTGCGAGAGCTTGTAGGAGTATATTTTGATAATATGTACATACTTGTCTATCTTGAATTTTTCGTACAACATTCTTTGAGTTAGTCGCGGATTATTTTAGAACTTCACATTATACGTACTAAGCGCAACGAAGTGAGAATCAAATAAGTTCACATCCAGCTCTGCACTAATGGTTTTCTTCTGAGCGATCGGCATCGAGTTGGTGAAGTCCAACCAGAAACTGAGTATCTGTCCGGATGGGGATGTCTGCACTCTGCAGGTGAGCACTGAGCACCCACCGGCTGAACAGGCATAGCCACTTAAATAATAACTTGAGTTAATCGAAAAAAGTTGGAGGAAAAGTCAAGTTATTATTACTACGCTACTGTGTTTTTAACTTTTGAGTATAAACTACTGCCGCGGCAGTTTCACCTTTGCGTTAGTATAGTAACGTGGACCAAGCCGTACGCCAACGGGTGAGTGGCAGACGGGTGAACCGTGAAACGTCTCATGTATGTCGGGAATAGCCGGGGATTCCCAAAATATATCTTAATGGAGGTATTAAGCGTGTTTCGCCCTAAATCCCCGGGTGCTCATGATCCACTTACGTACATGTAGTTAGGAATTTCTAGATCCGACGAACGGCTACGTCAGCCCTACTGACTTCTCCTTAAAGCTGCAGATCGAAGTCCGTGCTGAACTTCCTTCTGGAATCGAATGAAACAGTGACCCGCGTACGTACATGATGAAAAAATTGTTTTTTGGGTGAACATTTCGCAGTGCATTCTGAAATGGCGCTTTCGCGTGCGTAGACGAATTTCAAACCAGTTCTTACTAGATTTTCGGTACTTGATTAGACTTGGAATGAAAAACCAAAAACAAAATGGCGTACGGGAATATTTTGTAATTTATTTTACGCACCTTGTTGAACATGCCACCTCACCCCCGTATTTCGTTGTACTTTGTAGTTTTAAATTTGTAATTATGACTTTAGCGCAGCAGTACAGATACACTCGCTTGTACAATTATTCAGAAAACCGAAGTTTTTGTCTAATCTGTTATACAGATAATGTGTAATATGTAAGTAATTAATGGGTGGATCACTGGATCTCATATACCTCGGTTAGATCCATGACAGCATTCAGTTTGTCAGTTGGCATTCTTTAAGCTTTAAAACACAATGCAAAGTACACCAGTAGGGAAGCACATTGTGTATTCTTGTTATATTGGACAGACTGCTCTTGACGTTCTTTTATAATTCTGTATTAAGCGCACTCGAGTGAACACGAAAGGTGTCTTCAAGTATGACTACAGTACGTGATTTACGCCTGCGAGACAGTGCCGGTCTAGGAAACAGTATGGTTTGGGACCTACCCACGTTCAGCTGCTGACCTCCGACCGGAAGTCGAACAACTGCCCCGACGGGTTTTCTGGTCGGTATGTGCCGGTTTCTGGTCGCAGTACGTCGGGTTCGTGGTCCCGCACGTGTGAGTATTCCCACCGAACACCATACCTCCAGCCCGAAATCTAACCACAGCACGTTTCCGTTAGCAGCTGCAGTAATATTTCATAAGGACTACACGGCGCGGTGGCGTAATTTCCGTTCGTCATGTTGCCGCAGAAGGTGCGTTCACAACAGTCGTGTCCGCTCGTTCGCCGACCGCCGAGGTGGTTGCTGCAGATCTTATAGAAGATCAGTACGATATAAGTATTTAATTTATGTTTCATTTTCTACCATATCTAAACGTCCACTTATCGTGTCCGTCAAATACTGAGGCACAATCTGGCTAATTCAGCCTTATTGTAAGAACTATAGTGGTGTTTTAAAGCGGCTGATTCTAAGACTAAGAAGTGCCTACTGCCGCGGCAGTTCAACCTTGCGAGTATAGCGGGTCAACCCCACCGCCAACGGGTGAGTGACAGACGGCAGTAAACTGAGAAGTGTGACTGTGAACACTTGTGACTTATCGGTTACAACGCTAGCAGCAGGACGAAAACGATTTTCCGTTGTCAGTTGTGACTTGTCGCGATTTTTTCAAATTTCTTTGATGAAGAAAACTGCTTTAAAAGCGTTTTCGATTCCTCAAAAGCCTATACTTTCTACCTGGCTGCACTGCAAGCCCCCAAGTGACTGTGATCTGAATGTCCACATTTCCTGCCGACTCCAGTTATGTCGCAAAAACGGCAAATTACAGCACAATCATCGGACGCGGAAAGTCGCAACAAGGTGGCGAAGCTTGGCGACTATGCAAAGCATCTGCTGCTCTGTAAAGACACTAGCGATGTTCGGTTCCGAGTGGGACATGATTATGGCGCTGTGAAGATCTTTCCAGCCCACAGGTGAGTTCTCCATCTGGATTGCAGTTCGTACGATCCTCGTCCATAATCGCCACACCCGTTTGGCTGCTTAGCATTTGAAACTTGTCAATGTCGTTATGCAGAGCCATAATGGGTCGCAGCCCTGTATTCCATACAATGTTCTATGGAAGTCTGCCCGAAAAGCGCAAAGCTCCCATCAACATTCCCGACGTTCTTCCCGAAGCCTTCTCCAACATGCTCAGGTAAGCGCGTCTGTCATTCTACGGTATTTTTTTTCTTGCGTTGAAACTTGAATAACTTATAACGTACTTTTATATTATGACGATACAATCCATTGTACAGCTACATCTACACTGATGCTTTGGAGAACCTCACCAAGGAAAACGTTTTCCCCACGCTGGGCTGCGCGGACAAGTACGATCTACCGTTGTTGGTATCTATGTGTACTGACTTCGTCCTGAAGGACCTCAACATCAACAACTGCCTGGATATTCTGGATGATGTGGGTTTCGAACCTTGGGTGACCGCTACCATACGAATTACAATAAGTTGATTGCTCCGTAGGCGATTCATTACGATACTGTTGCCCCGAGTATCCTGGAGAAGTGTTTATCCCTCATTGATGAATCACCAAAAATAATCTGGGAATTGGAGCAGTTCAGTGCGATTGGACACGAGGCATTGCGCATCATTCTTCAGCGTGACACGTTGACCGCCAATGAAGATATAATTTGCTCGTCGGTTGACAAGTAAGGCGAACTTTTGCAGTTCTCTTATGCTGATACACAGATAATGTACTAACGAAAACCAGTTGAGAGTAACGAGTATAATGACACTTATTGCGGTCTGCGGACACTTTTGCCTGTGACAGGTGGGCTACGAACATGTGCACGCGTAAGAACTGGGGCGCTTCCGCCGCCAATCGGCGTAAAATACTGGGCGAGGTGCTGTTTCTCATTCGCTTTCCGCTTTTGACCAATTATAAACTGCTGGATGGGCCTGTCAAGGTACGGCCTTCACACCGATTTTTAAATGTTTATGAGTAAGACTTGAATCTGCTGGCAAGGGCGATATAATTGCCGTTATTGTTAAGATTGGCTTGCGCCGGCCTTCTGAAAGGGCCAATTAGTCTGGCGTAAGCGGAAACATTGAACCGCCGGCATCAGCTGATATGAGTCTATTTTTCACAGAGCGGTTTGTTGCTGAAATCGGAAGAACGGGACATCTTCCACTACAAGTACGCCACAATCAAACCTCGGCTTCCATTCAGCACGGCGCCCCGACAAAGTTAGTTTTTCTCAGCGTGCGTTGGAAACTATTCCCATGTTTTAGGTATTGGTTTGGCCGTTTTAGATTTACGCGCTTCTGGTGTCATTAGCTGTACGATTGCGGATATCAGGAAGCTGGCGGAACCGTATGCGGCCAGCGATGCCATTACAGTTAGAAACCTGCACTGGTGAGGCGGTTGTCGCAGAGGAAACGGACGCTTTGAGGTGGCCGAAGGTGGAAGCTAGTGCAATGCGTCGTATTGCAGGTGTATCCAGGTCGAAAAGAAAACCGACGGTGCGTCTGTGGCGTTTGGCTTCTACTTGGCGTGTACCAGCCGTCCGCAATCGGCAACATGGAGCTGCTTAGTTCATGCAGAATTGTGCCTACTACCATGGAAAACGGAAGCTGAAACAGTCAAGAAATTAAGTATGTTTCTGTGTGCGGTTAGCGTGACATCAGGCAACCCAATATTCTTCAATTTTGTAGATTTTTCCCGTCTGTTTTGCAAGGGAAGTCCTAGCTGGGGATTTCAGAAATATATCTGTATGAAGGTGAGAGCTTGTCCCGCTGAATTCTTGGTTACTCAAATTATTCACACATAGATTTGTATTTCAAGAAACTACTGGATCCGGCGAACGGCTACGTCAACCCTGCTGATTTCTCATTAAAACTGCAAATTGAAATGACTGCTGAACTGCCTACTGGAATGGAGTGAAACATTAGACAGTGGCCCACACACATGTTAAATACTGTAGTTTGGTTTTTGTAAATGTTCCAAGTTTCCTTGCGTTATCGTTTTTCGTAGTGAAGTTTCGAACCAGTTCTTCTTGCCAGGTTTTTTGTTACGTTGCCCAAGACCGTTTGTTAGCTGATTAGACACTGGATGTTTTAGTCGCTGAGTAGATAGAATTAGTTTGAGTTATAGATTATTGCGTTTTTGAAAGCGTACAGAGTACTACCCGTAGTACTTAAGTATTTATGCTGCTGTTTGCTTTGTTGTTGTTGTTGTATGCTGTGCAGATATGTTTTCTGAATTTCTATATTTTCCAGTTATTACGCAGGTAGTGGCAAATTGGCAATTACCTAACCACAATAACATATTAATTTCATATTTTGACTGACCTTCTGCAGTTTTAGTACGAGTAGAATAACTTCAATGTAGCAGAGCATCGCTTGTACATTGATTCAGCAATATACAACGTACAGAAGGAGTTGTGGGTGCTAAATTGCTAACGATAATTAGTGCGTTTATCTCAACATTTTTATTTAGAATTCGTGATAGAGTTACAGTACTTACATACAGGGAATTTTTTTTGTGCAAATGTCTTGGTCGATAACTATTAGTATGGCATCTGACCGACCGACTTGCAGTTGTTGTCTCCGACCGGAAGTCGATCACAATCGGCGACATTATTGAATGATTATTGCACATATTGGCCGTCGCCTACGGAGCCGGGGCCGTGTTGGTCGGCTGGGGCGCACCACTCTATGGCGCTTAATTTTTGCCCACAGTACGTCGGGTTCATTTGTCACACACTTGTGGGTATTCCCGTCAAGCACCATTCCCCCGCTGCAACCAAATTACAATCACCACACTCCGTTCCCATTCGAACAGAAGCAGTAGTTCATACTGCAGGGCGCGGTGGTGTAACCCCTGTTGTTCTTGCCGTAGATTAAAGTGCGGCCAAACCAGTCGAATCTGCCCGTTCGACGACCGCCGAGAGGTGGTTGCTGAAGATCTTTTGGAAGATCATAATTATAAGATTTCTACCTTATTTAAACGTCCATTTAACAATTCCTCAAATACTGAGGCACAATGTGGCTCAGGCCTCAGAACTACACTTTTTTGATGGTGTTTTAAAGAATCTTTGTACGTTTACACTTTCAAGGGAATTACTTACGCGGCAGTTCCGCCTTGCGTTAGTATAGCCTGCCAATCTCCCGCCAACGGGTGAGTGGCAGACGGCAGTGAACTAAGTTCTTAAGAGTTAAGACGAAAAAGGATTTTAAGTACTAGTACAATTTTTACCTGGTTATCTTCTCGCGCTTTTTGAAATTTCGATTCTTGCTGACAGAGAAAACTTGTTTGCTAGCGTTTTTGATTGTTCTGAAGCCTGTATTGTTTAAGTACTTCTAGCTGCGCTGCAAGTACAGAACCCCAGTTGACTGTGAATCTGTGATCTGAGTGTTCACTTTCCCTTTCTGCAGCAATGTCGCAAAAACGGCCAATTACAGCATCGGACGCGGGAAGTCGCGCCAAAGTGGCGAAGCTTGGTGACTATGCAAAGCATCTGCTGCTCTGTAAAGACACCAGCGATGTTCAGTTCCAGGTGGGACGGGATTATCGCGCAGTGGAGATCTTTTCAGCCCACAAGTGAGTTCTCCATCTGGGAGTGCAGTTTGTGCAATCCTTAAGGCTCGTCCATAATCGCCATAACCGTTTGGCTGCCTTGCAGTTGTACCTATCAGTGTCTTTATTTCAACTTCTGCAGGCTCATAATGGCTCGCAGCCCTGTTTTCCATACGATGTTCTATGGAAGTCTGCCCGCTGACTGTACAGCTCCCATCAGTATTCCCGACATTCTTCCCGGAGCCTTCTCTAACATGCTCAGGTGAATATGTCTGTCTGTACGACTGCAGTGTTTCGTTGCCTTTGCAGTACCGTTCTGACAACCCAGCCCATTGTACAGCTTTATTTACACCGATGCCGTGGAGAACCTTACCAGCGATAACGTCTTCCCTACTCTGGGCTGCGCCGACAAGTACGACCTACCGATATTGGTAGCCATCTGTACCAGACCTGTGCAGTTATGGAAAACTGACCCATAGTTAGAGTTAGGAGTTATAGGGAGCGTGCGCGTTACGCTACGAGTTACGCTATTAATGCAAGTAAACCGAGTTTCGAGTTATTCAGCGAGTTACGCTACCACAGACAATAAATACCATTTTTGGGCGAGTTACGCTAGAGTTAAGTTTTCGGGGGTACGAGTTACGCTTCAGAGTTACGTTATAACTCGATAACTCTCGATAACTCGAAAATAACTCGCGTTTCGTTAAATAGTTAAAAATAACTGCACAGGTCTGATCTGTACTAAGTTCGTCCTGAAGGACCTCAACATCAACAACTGCCTGGATATTCTGGATGATGTGGGTTTTTTTCGGGATTTGGGTAACCACTCTACCCTATAACATGCTGATTGTTGCGTAGGCGGTCCATTACGATAGCGTTGCGCCGAGTATCCTGGAGAAATGTTTATCGATCATTGATGAATCGCCGAAATTTGTCTGGGAACCGGAGCAGTTCAATGCGATTGGGCACGAGGCACTGCGCATTATTCTTCAGCGTGACACATTGACCGCCAATGAGGACATAATTTGCTCGTCGGTTGACAAGTAAGACCATTTTCCGCAGTCCTCTCCTACTGATACAAAAAGAAATCCTTTACGACAATGTTAACTGCGGTTTTTGTTGTTTGTGGCAGATGGGCTACATACATGTGCTCGCTAGCGAATGTGGACGCTTCCGCAGCTAATCGGCGTGGAATGTTGGGTCAGGCGCTGTTTCTCATCCGCTTTCCGCTCTTAACAAGTTGTAAACTTCTGGATGGGCCTGTCAAGGTACGACCTTCACACCGGTTTTTAATGTTGTTGAGCAAGACGCCATGAGAGCCGCTGGCATGCGCGTGATAGTTATTTGTTATGAAAAACTGGGGCTTGCCTTTTCGGCGACAGATTAGTCTGGCGTAGGCGGAAACATTGAACCGCTGTCATAAAATAATATGAGCTCGGTGAATTGTTATGTTTCTTTACTTTTTTATTCAGAGCGGTTTGTTGCTGCCAACGGAAGAACGGGACATCTTCCACTACAAGTACGCAACAATCAAACCGCAGTTGCCGTTCCCCGCGAAGCCCCGACAAAGTTAGCTCGATTATGCGTACGTCGGAATTGTTTTAAGTAGTGTTTTGGCCATCGTAGATGGTCGCGCTAATGGTGTGATTAATTTCACGATTCCGGATGTCAGGGAGCTGGACGAGTATATGGAGAGCGATCCCATTGCGCTTAGGAACCTGCTATGGTGAGGCGATTGCCGTACAAGAAACAAAAACTTTGAATTGGGCGACGGTCGAACCCGTCGAAGCTATTGCACTGTATCGTATTGCAGGTGCATTCATGTCGAAGAGGATACAGATGCACCTGCGGCTTTGGGCATGTACTTGTCATGTACGAGTCGTTCGAAATCGGCAACTTGGAACTGTCAATTTCACGCAGAACTGCGCCTACTGCCATGGAAAAAGGGAACTGCACCATTCCAGAAAAGTATGCGTCTTTATCCGGTCAGCGTAACAGCATTACAGCAGGCATTAATCTAATATTCTTCGACTTTGTAGCGATTTCTCGTCTGTTTTGCAAGGAAAGTCCTAGCTGGGGAATTCCGGATTACATCTTTACGAAGGTGCGAGCTTTTGCCCTGGTCCGTCGGTTATTCATTATTCATGTAAGTTGCATTTTAAGAATCTACTGGAACCGGCAAACGGCTACGTCAACCCTGCGGACTTCTCCTTAAAACTGCAAATAAAAATAGCTGCTGAACGCCCTACTGGAATGGAGTGAAACAATGACCCACATAAATTTTAAGAAAATTGTCGGGTTTTCGAATGTTTCAAATTTCCCGCGTACTTTGAAGTGGCGTTATCGTTTCCGTAGTGTAGACGAACTTTTGATCCAGTTCTTCTTGATAGATTTGTTTTCTTATTAGCTGATTGGACACTGGATGTTTTAGTCGCTGAGGAGATAGTACGGTTCAGTTTGAGTTATGGATTTCATTATAGCGCTTTGAACGCATTTTTCTGTTGTGTTTTTGTTGAGTATCGGTGCAGCGCCGTCATGGTATACGTGTCAAATGTGCAGCTGCCCAGATTTTCCAGATGTGTCAGATTTTCCAGACGGCCAAGGTACCTTGCCGGAATTTTCTAGTTAATAAACCGAAGCCCTTTCAGAAAAAGCAGCACCTACGTCAAACGTCAGTTTTTTGGTTCTTGCAATTTACATATACTCGTAACGGAATTCAAATTTGTTGGTAGGGTTACTCTAATGTCTCTTGATTCAGTGGCGCAGTGCGTTTTGTGGACAACTAACAGATAACCACACATGTATTAAATTTTGTTTTGTATAAAGGTGTATAAATGTGGGTGTTTTGTATAAATGTATAAATGTGTTTTGTATAAATGTGTGTATGTGTATGTATAGATATCTACAGAAGTACCAACAATAAGCACTTGTATTTTTTACCATTGCGCTAAATCGTTTGGAATTCATAACACTTATTTCTCTATAAAATTTTTAATTTGCTGACAGTCATTGTGATAGTTATGCCGTCATCGTGTGGTGATATGTTTCGGCAGGAAAATGAAAACTCTACTATTCACTTCCTTCTTAATGTTGCCGATACAAACAGTACCGATATGTTTGCTATGCTTTAATTATGGAAGTATTACGGCCAGCAGCGGCTAATTTTCAAAAGTAATACTATGAAGTCGTATTGACCTTCTGCTGTTGCAATCATATACCTAAGAAATTTAATGCAGCAGTGCATCGCTTATACTGTTGTACAAAATACTGATTCAAAACACAGAACTTATTTTCGTACATTGTAATACTTATGTAGTAACTACGATCTACGAGTAGTGGGTTGATCTCATACATTTGGATTAAGAGATTAAGATCAATAATTACAGTATGTTGTCGGATGGCTCAAACACACAAGTGCATGTGACGTTTAGTTTTGGTCAGAAATCAGAATCCTCAGATTGACAATCCTATGGTATCTGACCGACCGACTTGCAGTTGCGGATCTCCGACCGTAACATCTGCCTAGATGGACATCATTGGACAGGTCTGCCGGCGAGCCCCCATCGACGCCTGCATCACCTTTTCACAACAGCACCAGTACTGACTGCACTGCCTCAACGAGAACTACTAGTTGTTCGGTAAATCCCGTAGTTGGCAACTTGGCGGCCGGCGACGTTGCACATCGCCTGCGGAGCCGGTCGAGGCGCCGTATTGGTCGGTGGAACCGCACCGCTCTGTGGCTGTTTCTGGCCACAGTACGTGGGGTTCGTGGTCACACACGTGTGGATATTCCCGTTGAACACCATCTTCATGCACAACCCAACCACATCCCATTGGAATAAAAGCAGTACTACAGGGCGCGGTCACACCAGTCGAATCCGCCCGTTCGACGACCGTCTACAGGTGGTTGCTGAATATCTTCTAGAAAATCACTATCGTACCGTATTTAATTTGGATTTCTACCATAAAATCCATATTTAAACGACCACTTATCATGGACATCAAATAGTAATGCACAATCAGCTGGCTAAGAAATTAGAATTATCAACTATGTATAATGGTGTTTTTGAGTGGTACCAAGTACTTACTTAGTTCTTGGTGGTACGAATAACTGTATGATGCTTAAAATTACTTACTGGCTAAGAATAACGAGTAAGAAAAAAATCTGTGTACCGTTTTAAGTGCCTGCTGCCGTGGCAGTTATGCCTTGCGTTACGTTAGCGTGACGAGCCCACCGCCAACGGGTGAGTGGCAAACGGAAGTGAACCATGAAGACGTAGAGCGCTGGCAGTTTGGATTTTACCTTGACACGGTAAAATGTTGCCCTGATTTGGAAATTCTCGCTGATAAGGACAACTAGCGTTTTCGATCGCTCAGACTTCAGAAGCCTCTGCTGTTTACTTCTAACTGCGCTGTAGGCCCCCCAGTGACTGTGATCTGAAGGTTCACATTCCCTGCCGACTGCAGCTATGTCGCAAAAACGGCAAAATACAGCATCATCATCATCATCGGACGCGGAAAGTCGCACCAAGGTGGCGAAGGTTGGCGACTATGCAAAGCATCTGCTGCTCTGTAAAGACACTAGCGATGTTCGGTTCCGAGTGGGCCGTGATTATGGCGCAGTGAAGATTTTTCCAGCCCACAGGTGAGTTCTCCATCTGGGATTGCAGTTCGTGCGATCCTCAGTTCTCGTCCATAATCTCCAGATCCTTTGCTCGGCAATTGCAACTTCGCAGTGTCGTTATGGGGTCGCAGGGTCATAATGGGGCGCAGCCCTGTATTCCATACGATGTTCTATGGAAGTCTGCCCGAAACGCGCAAAGGTCAAATCACCATTCCCGACGTTCTTCCCGAAGCCTTCTCTAACATGCTCAGGTAAGCACGTCTATCAGGGAATGGTATTTCGTTTCTTGCATTGAATAACACATATTTTGACAACACAACCATTTGTGCAGCTATATCTACACCGATTCCGTGGAGACCCTCTCCAAGGATAATGTTTTCCCCACACTTGGCTGCGCGGACAAGTACGATCTACCATTATTGGTAGCCATGTGTACTGACTTCGTCCTGAAGGACCTCAACATCCATAACTGCCTGGATATTCTGGATGACGTGGGTTTTTTTGCGATTTGGGTTTACACTCCACCTTATAACACTATGTTGACTGTTGCGTAGGCGGTCCATTACGATAGCGTTGCGCCGAGTATCCTGGAGAAATGCTTATCCCTCATTGATGAATCACCAAAATTAATCTGGGAATCGGAGCAGTTCAATGCGATTGGAGAGGTGGCACTGCGCATCATTCTCCAGCGGGACACGTTGACCGCCAATGAAGATATAATTTGCTCGTCGGTTGATAAGTAAGACCATTTTTGCATTCCTCTTCTACAGTTAAGGACTAAATGGTCGCGCGCTGGGACGCTGTCATACCCAGCCTTCTGCACGCATTTGGAGCACGGATGTTGCGACTTTGTAATGACTGTGTTCTGAGTGCACTGCGTCGTTTCCCACGGAATTCTGGGTATGGCAGCGGGCGACCATGATTTTGGCCTTAAATTGTGCAGATACTCAGTCAGATACAGTAATGAGTATCTGCTCTACACCAACTGCGGCTTGTATCGTTTGTGGCAGGTGGGCGGCAAACATGTGCACACAGAGGAATTTGGACGCTTCCGCCGCCAATCGGCGTAAGATACTGGGCCAGACGCTGCTTCTCGTTCGCTTTCCGCTCCTGACTAATTACAAACTGGTGGATGGGCCTGTCAGGGTATGACCTTCGCACCAATTTTTATGTTTTCGATTTGAGTAAGACTTAAAATCGCTGGTAAGGGCTAAATAGTTGTCTGTTGAGATTGGCTCACGGCCAGTTTGTCTGACGTAGCCGGTAAAATTGAGCCACCAGAGTTAAGTAATATGGGCTGGGTGAATACTTCCTGTTTCTTAATAACCGGTAAATTTAGTACATATGTTTTTGAATATCCGGTTATCTTGATCTTTGTTCTTTGACCACCCTTCTCCTGTAGGTAAAAAAACCGGATATAGCTGCTGTTGTAGTAAAATCAAATTTTACGTCCATTGAACACGTTATTTCAAATGCTATCGCCAGTTTATTATCATGAAAACGCCACCTGGTGCTGGTGACCAGTTGTTTAAAATGTAAAGTAACGGTAACCGGTCGTTGAGAAATGCCGAAGTAGTTATATGTGGTTTTATTCAGAGCGGTTTGTTGCTGCCAGCGGAAGAACTAGACATCTTCCATTACAAGTACGGTACCATCAAACCCCAGCTGCCGTTCCGCACGGAGCCCCGACAAAGTTAGCCCGTTTATGCCGATTTTGGAAATTTCAATCATGTTATAGACATTTGTTTTGGCCATCCTAGATTCCCGCGCTAATAGCCTTATTAGCCTTACGATTCCGGATGTCAGGAAGCTGCCGAAGACGTACTTGGCTAGTGCTCCCATTACGGTTAGGGGCCTGCTCTGGTGAGGAGGTTGCCGTAGACTCGTAATGAACACAAAATCTGACGTTTGCGAAGACAGAGAAGCCATTGCACAGTTTGCACTGCATCGTATATTGCAGGTGCATCTACATCAAACAGGAAACAGACGATGCGTCTCCGACTTTGGGCTACTATTTGATTTGTACCAGCCGCCCGCAATCGGCAACATGGAACTGTCAAATTCATGCAGAACTGCGCCTACTGCCATGGAAAAAGGAAACGGCACCAGTCAAGAGAAGTATGCTTCCATATAAGGTTACCCTAACACCAGGCAAGTCGATATTGTTTTACTTTGTAGCGCTTGCCCATCTGTTTTGCCAGGGAATTTCTAACTGGGGATTCCCGAAATATATCTCTGCGGCGGTGAGGTCTTTTCTTGCTGAATTCTCGAGTTAACTCATTATTTTACACAGGTTTGTATTTCAAGGAATTGTTGGATCCGGCGAACGGCTACGTCAACCCTGCTGACTTCTCCTTGAAACTGCAAATCGAAATGACTGCTGAACTTCCTACTGGAATGATGTGAAATGATGACCCCGCGTACATGTTAAATAGATTGGCGGTTTTAATTAATTATTATTACTATTATTTATTCTTATTACTACGGCACAAGAGCAGACAGAGTTCCGAGTATTCTCATGTGTCCCGAAATGGAGTTATCGTTTTCGTAGTTTAGGCGAATTTCGAACCAGTTCTTCTTGCCAGTTCGATTGTTAGTCGTTTGTTATCTGATTAGATACTGGATGTTTTAGTCGTTGAGTCGACAGAATAAGTTTGAATTACAGATTATTGCGTTTTTGAATGCGTACAGAGTGTTTATGGTATTTTTGTTTGTTGTTGTTGTATACGCTACAGATACTGTATGTTTTCTAAATTTATATATTTTCCAGTTATCACGCGGCTACCGGCTTAACTACAAATGTCTACACCGACATATTTCATATTATGAGATTTATGACTGACCTTCTGCCCCTTTGTTGCTACGAGTAAGTATAACAAGTTCAATGTAGCAGAGCATCGCTTGCAAAGTGATTAAGCAATATACAGAAGTAGTTTGGTGCGCTAATAATAATTAGTGTTTCAACATTTTAATTGAAATCCATGATACTAGAGTTACTGAGGTTGTCAGACGGAAACTTGTTTTAACTCGAAAAGCACGTGCATCATCATTGCATGCATCATATAAGTGTATTGTGAATTTTATTTACTGTAAATGTCTTGGTCAATTAACTAACAGAATGGTACTGTATCTGACCGACCGACTAAAGTTGCTGATCTCCGATCGGAAGTCGAACAACTGGCATGTCTGCACGCGAGCCACCATCGTCGGCTGCATCCCCTGATCGCAGTAGCACCAGTACTGACTGCACTGTCCCAGGGAGAACCACCAGTTATTCGGTAAATCCCGCAGTTAACAGTTGGCGACGTTGCACAGACTGGCCGTCGCCGGCTCCGGGTGCCGGCGCCGTGTTGGTCGACGAGGGCGCACCACTCTGTGGCGGTCTCTGCCCACAGTACGTCGGGTTCATTGTTGCACACGTGTGGATATTCCTATCGAACACCGTATTCCAGCCCGAAATCCAACCACATTACGTCTCCACTGGAGAACTGCAGTAATTCATGCTACACGGCTTGGTGGCGTAAATCCCATTGTTCTTGTTGCCGCCGATTAAGGTGCGGCCACCCGGCATACCAGTCGCATCTGGTCGTTCGACGACCGCCGAGAGGTGGTTGCTGAAGATCTTTTAAAAGATCTATTTAAGGAAGATTTCTACCTTTTTCAAACGTCCACTTAGTATGTCCACCAAATATCGAGGCACAATGTGATTCTGGTTCAGAACTACATATAGAAGTATATACTCTTATGATGGTGCTTTAAAGTGGTTAGACGTTAGTTAAGATTAAGAAGAATTGCCTAGCCTACTCACGCGGCAGTTCCGCCTTGCGTTAGTATAGCGTGCCAAGCCCCCGCCAACGGGTGAGAGGCAGACGTCAGTGAACCGTGAAACTTAGCAGCAAGACGAACAAGGATTTTACAGTTATTAAGTACCTTGTCACGCTCTCGCGATTTTTAAATTTCTCGCTGATAGAGACAACTGGTTTTAATGCAAGCGTTTTTGATTGCTCTGAAACCTGAGACGTCTATTGTTTAAGTACTTCCAGCTGCGCAACAAGTACGGGATCCCGATCGACTGTAATCTGAATGTTCACACTCCCTGCCGACTGCCGCTATATGTCGCAAAAACGGCAAAGTACAGCACAATCATCGGATGCGGAAGGTAGCACGAAGATGGCGAAGCTTGGCGACTATGCAAAGAATCTGCTGCTGTGTGAAGACACCAGCGATGTTCGGTTCCGAGTAGGACGTGATTATGGCGCTGTGAAGATTTTTCCTGCCCATAGGTGAGTTCTCCATCGATCCATCGATGGCGGTTCGTCAGACATAAATCTGCACTCGTCAGACCTCTCCCATGAGCGCCACATCCATTTGGCTGCTTTGCACTTTGCAGTTGTAGCTTGTCATTGTCGTCATGCAGGGTCATAATGGGTCGCAGTCCTGTATTCCATACCATGTTCTATGGAAGTCTGCCCGATAAGCGCAAAGCACCCATCAGCATTCCCGACGTTCTTCCCGAAGCCTTTTCTAACATGCTCAGGTAAATATCTGTCGTTACTGCTACGGTATTTCGTGGCCTTTGGAGTGAATTCCGTACATGACCAACAACAACCCATTGTGCAGTTTTATCTACACCGATGCCGTTCAGACCCTCACCAAGGATAACGTTTTCCCCACGTTGGGCTGCGCGGACAAGTACGATCTGCCATTACTGGTTGCCATGTGTACTGATTTCGTCCTGAAGGATCTCACAATCAGCAATTGCCTGGATATTCTGGATGACGTGGGTTTTATCAGAACTTGGGTTACCATGCACTCCAGTGACTCTACTATACAATATAATGATTGTTGCATAGGCGGTTCACTACGATAGTGTGGCGCCGAGTATCCTGGAGGAGTGTTTATACCTCATTGATGAATCACCGAAGTTAATTTGGGAATCGGAGCAGTTCAGTGCGATTGGACACGAGGCACTGCGCACTATTCTGCAGCGGGATACGTTGACCGCCAGTGAAGATAGAATTTGGTTGTCGGTGGATAAGTAAGACGAATATCTGCAGTCCTCCTCAACTGATTCATAGATGTAGAACGGAGCCCATTGAAAACAGTGAGCACGCTAACCGCGGCTTGTATCGTTTGTGGCAGGTGGGCTGAGAACATGTGCACACGAAGGAACTTGGACTCTTCTGCCGCCAGTCGGCGTGAGATATTGGGCCAGACGCTGTTTCTTATTCGTTTTCCCCTCTTGACTAGTGGTGAGCTGCTGGATGGGCCTGTCAAGGTACGGCCGTCACACTGACGTTTATTCTATATTTGAACATTAAGCCACTGACAAGAGATGATGTAATTGCCTCCTATTAAGACTGGTTTGTGCTGGCCTACTAACATTACATAGGCCGAAACAGTTCACCGCCGGAATATATATTACAGTATTACGGAATATGGTAATGCGGGTTTTTGTATTCAGAGGGGTTTGTTGCTGAAATCGGAAGAACGGGACATCTTCCACCACAAGAACGCCGCAATCAAACCGCAGCTACCGTTCCGTACGGACCCCCGACAAAGTTAGTTTTGTTTATGTGTACACTAGAAATTTCACCCATGTTTTGGGCATTGTTTCAACTTTCGGCCATCTTTAGATGTTCGGGCTGTGGGTGTCATTAACTTCACCATTCCGGATGTCCGGAAGGTGGTTCCGGGGGAACCGTATGCGCCCAGCGATCGCATTACACTTAGGAACCTGCTCTGGTGAGGCGGTAGCCGTAGACGAGGCCGAAACTTTGAAGTGGGCGAAGGTGGAAGCCATTGCAGTGCGTCGTATTACAGGTGCATCTACGTCAAGAACGATACAGACAGTGCACCGACGGCTTTTGGCTTCTACTTGTGGTGTTACAACCCTCCCAAGTCGGCAACTTGGAACTGTCAAGTTCATGCAGAACTGCGCCTCCTGCCATGGAAAGCTGGAACTGCACCGATCAAGAAAAGTATGCTTCCCTTAGTTCCCGTACGGTTATCGTAACATCAGGCAATCCAGTATTCTTCAACTTTGTAGCGTTTTCCCGCCTGTATTGCAAGCAAACTTCTCGCTGGGGATTGCTGAAATATATCTTTATGGAGGTGAGAGTTTTCGCGCTGAATTCTCGGTTACTCATCATTCATGAAGGTTTGTATTTCGAGGAATTATTGGATCCGGCGAACGGCTACGTCAACCCTGCTGACTTCTCCTTAACACTGCAGATTGAAATGACTGCTGAACTGCCTACTGGAATGATGTGAAACAGTGACCCACATACATGTTAAATGGATTGGTTTTTTTTAATTGTTCCGGTTTCCTCGCGTTCCCAGCAATGGTGTTATCATTTTCGTAATGTGGGCGTATTCTTGAACCAGTTCTTCCTGCCAGACTTTTGGTTGCCCAGAACCGTTTATTAGCTGATTAGACACTGGATGTTGTAGTCGCTGAGTAGATAAAAATAAGTTTGAGTTTTAGATTTGTTGCGTTTTTGAACGCGTACAGAGTACTTTGGTACAGAGTGTTTTCTGTTTGTTGTTGTTGTTGTTATATAGTGTGCAGATATGATTCCAGATTTCTCTATGTTTCAGTTATCACGCGGGAAGAGGCTTTACTACCATAACATATTTCATATTATGACTGACCTTCCGCAGTTGTTACTTGTTAGTCAAATAACTTAACGTAACAGACATGCCGCTTGTATCGTGATTCAACAATATACAGAAATAGTTTTGTGGGCTAATAATAACTTCTGTGTCAATATTTTAATTAAAATCGATGATAGATTTATTTACGTTGTCAGATGGAAAGTTTTAACTAGAAAAGACACACGTGCATGCTACAGAGCACTGTATTTTGAGCTTTTCTTACTGCAAATGTCTTGGTCGAATTAGCTAACAGTATGGGATCTGACCAACCGACTTGCAGTTACTGATCTCCGACCGGAAGTCGAACAACTGGCCAGACGGGCATGTCTGCAGACGAGCCCCCATCGCGGTCGTCGGCTGCATCCCCTTATCGCAGTAGCACCAGTATTGACTGCACTGTCCCAGGGAGAACCACCAGTTATTCGGTAAATCCCGCAGTTGACAATTGGCGACATTGCACAGACTGGCCGTCGCCTGCGGAGCCGGTGCCGGCGCCGTGTTGGTCGGCGGGGGAGCACCGCTCTGCGGCGGTTTCTGCCCACAGTACGTCGGGTTCGTGTTCACACACGAGTGAATATTCCCGTCGAACACCGTTCCCCCGCCGCAACCTAACCACTGCCCGTTCCCATTGGAGCAGCTGCAGTAGTTCATACTGCAGGGCGCGGTGGCGTAGTTTCCGTTGGTCTTATTACCGCAGAAGGTGCGGTCACACCAGTCGAATCCGCCGGTGGGGCGACCACCAAGGGGTGCCGGTTGTTGGGTGGTGGACGGGGGTGGAGCGGGGCTGCTAGGCGGAGAACTGGGATTACTATTGCTGTTACTGTTAGGTGACGTGTTGGCATTGGTCGCCGGCGTGGTGGGCGTGGTCGCGTGTGTCGTTGTCACCGTTGTCGACGGTGTCATGGTAGCCGGCGCATTCGTCGCAGAAGAAGCGGTGCCACCGCATGCCACAATGGTGCTGGTACTGGCGCAACCCAAGACACTGGCTGACGAATCAAACGCCTGCCCGGCTGAACACGTGAACACCTTGGGCGCGGTGACATTCACCCAGTCGTACGCGTTCTTCGACGGATTCCACAGACCGTTCTGGTAGCTGCATGCACAGTATTGTTGCGAGCAGATATTAGTCGAGGTCATGGCGTAGCGCACCCGGCCTTGACATCCGTTCGTGTCACAGGGAATGTTTTGAATGGGCGCCGTCGCGGTGGGGCTGACCAACCCAGCCACAATATAGTCTTCGATGCCGAGGTGATTCGTGCCGCGCAGGAATTTCACGGTGCCGTTGATGCCCCACTTGTAACCCCACGAGTTGGCGATCAGCCAGTAGTCGGTGCCGTTTTCCGTTCCCCAGCCGATGAGTTTCATGGCGTGTCCGCCGGAGTAGTTGCCGGTTACGTGCTGATACACTCCTAAAGGTCACGCAGCTGATTACTGAACAGAGAACTTGAAGAGAATTAACGGAATATTAATCTAACTATGCTAATGACGTGCTATATACTCCTAAAGGTCACGCGACTAACTATTTGCCTTGAGGCTGACGACGCTAACTGACCGGATTGGTACGCGAAGAAATCATCGTAAACGTCAATGGCGACGGTCATTGGGCCGTTAGTCTGCAGTTCATACTGGATTTGATGGATGACCGTATCGGTGGTGGCGATGGATGCGGCTGCTCCGCCGGAGTTGTTGGCGAAGTTGTTCCCCAACGCATACCACGAAGAACCTGTTAGACATGAAGAGTTTGTTGAGTCAGCGTTTCATATAAATATACGACTGCCAAGCAGCAACGATGCTGCAAGAAATCGGCTGACCGTAGGTTTTATTTTGGCTGTAGTTAATGGCGGTGTTGGCGCAGGTTTTGGTGCACTGACTAGTGGAAGTGGCGCTGGAGGCGTCGGTTGTGTAGGAGACATACGGCATACATCCCTGATCAGCCGCGGAGCTTTGATAATCACCACCCGTCACAATACCGGTACTAACCGCCATGGCGTATGGGACGCGGGGGTCATTTCCGTCACTGAGAATACGGGGATACTTCGATAGTTTACAATATAATATGTAGGACAGTTTGCACGTTTACGTGTACATACAGTTTTTATACTTTTTTACAGAGCAAGCAAAACTGAATGCGTACAAGTCCAAGGGACTTCATTATTTACTTCATTTAGTTTATTTACTTCATTTATTGACACGATCCCAAGGTTCTGTTTTTATTCTGTTTTCAAATATTTCTTTTAAAAACGTTTTTAAGTATGTTTTGTAAATATTATCCAGTTGCATTTTACAGAAGTAAAACTGGCATTACAGCTGTACATTGGCATCGTTATAAAAACAAGATACCAAAATCAAATAAAACTCTCCCAAGAAAGAATTTAATTATGTAGTATTAAACTACTTTAAATTTTGACGAGCTATCATTTTCGTAAGGCTAAATCAGCAGCTGCCTGAACTCTAACATGCGAATCTTTGACGAATGCACATTATGTATGCACTTGTACTGATACTGATTATCTATATACATACTAGGAGCGATAATACTCACCACCAGTTCTGATTGTCTCCTCCACTGCACAGAATCAAATCCTGCACCGACAACTTCCGGTAGGAATTAGCACTACCACTGGCAATACAGTAGCGGTCCGACAGTGCCGATGCTCCAGCATGCGCCTGTAATTCACCATGATCATGCAACACCGGCTCCGATAAACGTGCACACATTCCACAGTGCGCAGCTATCGAAAAGCGCTTACCCAGCACGAACCACAGTGACCTTGATCGCGGATCTCTTGCATACTGACGCAGCCGGGCCATTTGCTCCGTACATCAAAACTGGGCGGCAGGGCCACCCGCTTGACGGACGGAGCTGCTGCCAAATGAGGATCACTAGCCGTGGATTCCTTCGTTGGGCGTCTAGTTCCGCACAGCTTCTTCAGTTCGCTGGGGTCCATGCCGGTGAACTCGTTCTCCGCTGGTACCCATTTGGCACCGTGTAGATTGTTTTTGCTGAAGTGCTCCTTGATTTTCCTTTCGAAGACAAGCAGATTATTTACTCGGTTAAAGGCTACCGGTATGTAAAGGTCACGGTAACCTTACTGGATGTTTTCGTGGTGGTGCTTGTTTGTTGGTCCTCCGCGCCTGGCTGCAACCAGAGCCACACCGGCCAAGAGAAAAACCAGGAAGCTTTTGGAATACATATTTTCAACAAAACGTGTGGAAACGCGACTGCTGCAACACCAAAAAGCGTTCATGCGCCAATCTGTTTCAAGCATTTTCAAGCGTTATTTCAGCTAGCGTTTGCGGTTTTCAGTTCACGCGATCAGTTACTGCGTATGACACTTGACAAGACCGGCATTTTTCCCAGTTTTTGCTTAAATTTTGAACGATGTATTTCAAGGTCTGAAGTTGGATGTCCTAGTGGCAATGAGTTGTGTGGTATTACAGTACTTGACGCAAGCATGGTCGGCCAGGTACCAGTTCGCAATAATTAGCATTTACGTGGTACCATGCATATCATTTGTAACATTTAGCAGTTCTTGCTGATAATACATGCGCGTATATGTAAATTCTTATTAGTAAATTAGTTTTTGTACCACTACGGTATTTCTTGCAGGCGTACATGTATAGTAAATCCTGTACGTTGTGCGATCTTATAATAGAATCGATATACTCGTACTATACAACTACCGGTTATTGTATTACTTATTTACGTTACTACTACTTCACAATATTCGTACGGGTAACATAGTTTTTACTCTACAGACTACTCTGTGCTCTACTCTGTAGACTTTAATTTAAACTTTAAAGTGCAGTTAAATTACTGCATCAAACAGAGCGCTTTTTGGACGTTGCTTAAGTTAATATTTTTAGTTGCAACTAGCCAGCATACGACTGTACGTGTATTGGGTTGCATTTTTTAATATGCGTGTATTCCAGTTTGTAAAGTGTGATTGGGGTTTTCACTTTTTGCAGCTGGCCGGCACAAATACGCTCCCGGGCAACGGGACGAATACGGCTATATAACAGAGTAAACAGACTAACATTCCCGTATTTAGTGACAATAATATTAAGCGAGGAAAAAGTAGACTTTTTGTCATACATGTATGTTTATATAAAATATGTACGGGCACGTTTCACCGTTTCCGGTTGAGCAGGAGCGGACCATGGTGATTAGTAAGTGCATTGTACAAGTACACGTGGCGCCCCAACGTTATTAACGTTAACAACTTGACCACAGATTTGAACGGCCTTCCCAATATTCATCGGTCATGGCGGTGCAGTCCTAACGGTTGTCATAATATCAGATGTGTATTATTTCAAGCGGTAAGGTTAGAGCCACTGCAACAATTGCATCTGTCCAAGTGTTGACAGATTAGGTGCGATAACCCAAAAAAACCGGCGCGTGGCGCGCCGTTGTTATGCATTTATCAGTGTCCTATACAGCAAGTCAGGAACAACAAATCCCTCGTGTGCAACCATATTTTACAATAAACATTTGTCAGCAAAATTCGCATTAAACCGGGTGTTGGTAATTTTGGTACACTTTCTTAGCGGTTACATATAAGAGCATGCTGTAGTAATTTTAAACATATATTGCAGTCTGTTGTGACAGGCAAGCGCAGGGGGCTCACAGGTGCCTTTATTGTACAAATAAAGTGGAGCAAATACCGCGTGATTGCGGGAGAAAAACACAACAAAGCCAATGTCTGGCAGAAATCAGCAGTCAAGTTGCTGCGAGCGAGTTCTACGCGTAATGAAATGTAGAGAAAAGAAATGTGCTGGCGGCAACGGCGTCACGCTGTCCAGACACATGGAATGTGAGTGCGCAGACTGGACTCGTATCCAACGCGAGCGAATATACGCTGAGTCATACAGCGAGAGAGAGCGAGAGCAAGTATGCTCAGTGAGTGCGCCGCGGTGTATCCGCATAGGCGGAGAGTGCAGTGCAGCCACTCACGTACGTACAAGAGAGGGCGAATCAGCATGTGTGCAGTGATACGCATACGCAAAGTGGCGTATCTATCACGCAGGCTGTCGCCTCTAACATGCCTCTAGGCGGGAATCCGAGCTCCTGCGAGGATGCTCAGACTCAGTAGCGCACCAGCGTCGCACCTCTCCGGTCGACCCATGTGGTCGCCGGTACGCGTCCTCTTCCGGCGGGAGTCCGGTGTCTGTTGACCGTCCCATCCTTCACTTCCAGATCCATGAGAGGCAAGCAACTCACGGCCGCAAATCTGGAAGCCGCTCGGGGTTCGTTGTTGGACCGGTATTGCTTCTGTTGGCCTGGCATCTTGCTTCTGTTGGCTCGCGGAGAAAGTAAAAGAAAAGTACTGACAGTTAAGCAGCGCGAAGTAAAAAAAAGTAATAAAGTTTTAATCACAATTCCAGTGAGCAAAAAGTAAATGCAAAACAGATCTGGTTAGAGATTCTAAGTAAAATACAATTCCGTTTGTTAGAAAATGTATAAAAATACTAAAAAGAGATCTGTCCGGGGGCTTATTCCGACTAGGATGACGTCCACGGGTCTTGAGTTTCCACGGGGTCTCCTGTCTAAATGCAATCCGGTGTGTCAGGTCCGGGGCGTCGGTTCCCGGGTTACCCAACGTGACCGGTAAATTCGTCCGAGGTCGGGTAAGCACGGCTGACACTTACGTCCGACTCGTATTCATCCGTTCCGGAGTGAGAGGCACTGTCGCTGTTGCGAATGCCGAAGCATCCTCTCTGATTAGGGAGGATGGACCAAGGTCGTCGGACCAAGGTCGGCCTACCGGTACGTTAACCGGCGGCAAGGGAGTTCGGCTAAGTCCCGAATTCCTAAAAGTCAGGTCGGACAGAACCGTACTTGTGTCGTGCGACTTCTGTGGTCGCCAAGTGGTAATGCCGATGGAATGTGGTCGGTTAAAACCGTTAAATCTGCTACCACGAGCCTGGGTGTAACTTCCGATACGAACTGGCTCGAAGGTCCGGTCGGAATTTCTTGTTCCTCCATCCAACGGTGGTTTATCCGACCTTCTGCCGGTTGAGGATGGATATCCGACCTGAGGTCGGTTATAATGTTATCCGACCTGAGGTCGGTGATAACGCACCTCCATGGTCGACCTCGGTAACTCGTGTTATTTAGGCCCATGTGGGGCCAAACAAGTCCCGTTAGGTCGAATTCGTCCATTCCGAGGTCGTTTCCAGTTCCAATCTTCAGTTTAGTCGTCTTTCACCGACCTGTTATCGGTGACTCCTGATGTCCGACCTGAGGTCGGGTATGATGTTATCCGACTGGAGGTCGGTTACTCCAAGTCCCAGGTCGATTAAGGTCGATTCCTCCTATCCGGAAGTCGTTTTTTCGTGAACCTCTACGATGGCGTTTCCATCCACCGACCTGTTGTCGGTTACTTCTCTCATGTCCGACCCGAGGTCGGTTACAACGTTATCCGACCTGAGGTTGGACGTAATGTTATCCAACTCGAGGTCGGTGATTCCTCATCCAGGTCGGTTGCGTTCGTCAAGAGGTCAGTTTCAAGCCTCTGGGCACTCATCCGATCTCTGCGAAGTTTGTTTGGAGCGATGGTCCCGTCCGTGCCTCTAACATGCCCTGGTTCGGGTCGATGGTTTTTGCCTCTGGACGGGTCCGAATTCCGTCAAGTTCGGCAGTTCCATGACGTCTGTTGGCCATTCAGCATGCAATTCAGGTCGCTTGTGGCATCAAGGGACTTCTGTGGTCCCACTCCGCAAGACAGACTCTTTGGTTTCAAACCGGCGTAAGGTTCTCGCGCCTCGGCAGAGTTGTGCGTCGGGCCCCGACTTATGTCAGACTACCCGTTCCCATCCCCATGCGGCGTGCAGACTGAGGTAAAATCAGATCACTTCACTTCCCTGGTTTGGAGTTCCTCCGTTCGGTTCCGCGAACCTGTGACGCCTTGCCGCTTCTGTTGGGGAAAGACATCACACGTCCGTAGGGATCTGTATGGGGGTGCGAGCCGTGTGTTCTAACACGGTCTGCCTAGGATGTTCCATTTGAGACATGGGGAAGCAGGTCGCGGCGGAGTCGTTGGTACGTCAGTAGCCAAATCACCGTCGCTGTTCCTCTTCAGGTAATGGCAGCACGGTCAAGCCGCGCGTAGTCGTGGTCACCGGTGAATCGGTTGGTTTATCCGATATCCTCCGGGGGAGACTGCGGTTGGACTCCAGGTACAGGTTCCTGGTTGAGAGCCTGTAGGTCCGGGTTCAAACGGAGAATCCGTCCAGACTAAAATCGTAGTCGGGTGTCGCGGTTTGCGGTCATTATTACCGACTTCTGTGGTCAGTAAAGGCTACGATAAACCATCCCGTCTGTGATTTCCATATGCTTCCGTCAGGTCGACGTCGGTTGGTCGAATGGTGACTTCTGAGGTCGGCTACCGTTGACAAGTCGACTTCTGTGGTCGATTCTAAGTAGCAGGTCGTGGTTGACACTGTTCGTTCCGTCGCGGTCCGAGTGATTCCGTGTTATTTAGGGACTTGTTGTCCTATCGGCCGTCCGTGTCTCGGAGTTAACCGTGGGTGTCTTGGCAAGCATGGTCCTGAACACACCGCAGTGCTGTGTTCCGGGCCATGCTAGCGGAATCCTCGCTGGTTTCTACCCCGGAGTCCGGTTGCCGGAGTGTCTTGATTCCGATCATCTACCTCTGGAATGGTTGACTTCCGTGGTCAACTGAGGTAGTAGATCGTGGTTAACCAACACGGTCTGCATTGGATATATCCTTCTGTATGACTTATCCTTCGGATGTAAAGTTGAAACTTCACCGACTTCTGTGGTCGGCTAAGTTATCCGAATCGTGATTAGGGAAGGTCCAAGTTCTACCTTAAAATTGGCTGACTTCCGTGGTCAACGAAGGTAGTGGATCGTGGTTCTGTGACACGGTCTGCGTCACTTCCTTTAATTACCTGGGGAATGGTCAACTTCTGTGGTTGACTGAGATAACGGGACGCGGTTGAGGTCGCGGTTTGCGAAGTTAGGTCTCTGGGCGGGAGTCCGGTTCTTCGTTCCTGCCCTCAGTTAGTTCAATGCGTCATGTCATAACAGGTCGGTTTTGACTTCTGTGGTCAATTCCGGACCGTGTGACATTGCGGGCCGATGAGGATACCACTGTCTGCGGTGATGAAAGTTACTGGTCGGTTACCCGGTCCCAAAGTCGGCCACGGGTGCCAGGCGAACATGGTGTCGAGAACGTGACAACGTTTTCGACACCATGTTAGCGTAATCCTCTCGGTCTGTTCTCCAG